TTTATTTTGATTTCAAAAATTACTGATTAAGGTATATATATATGCATAGGCGTGCGCAGAGTTGTAGTTCGGGGCGCGCCCGAGAAAAATTAATTAATTACATGAATAGATTGGGCAACACTTTCAACACATTGTGTGTCGGGGTGCACATAAAAATAGGGCCTGAATACTAGATAATTTAAAATAATAATCAGTTCTATACGCTGTCTTTAAATTAATTTTCATAGTTATATTAATAAATTAAATACCATACACTCTAAAAAATATTTTTTTGATGATAATTTTCTTACTTCGTTATTCTTAGTAAAACTATTGCAATAGATTCAAATTGGCAGAGAAAATATAATATTATCTATTATCGGTGTGTACTTATAGCTTTATGTTAACCATTGTAACTATAGAATACAGTTGTTGGGTACTGTTCCGGCACGCCTATGTATACGTGAAAATAAACATAGTAGAAGTAAATATGATAATTTAATGCTTATTCCAACTTAATTTTAATTTTTTGATATTGAAATATTAACAATTTACGAGATACAAGGTCGGCTAATTCATCTAGTATTTTAATGTATCATTAATTGTACTCTCAAACAACGTTGAGCATATAAAAAGCAATTTAAATTTAATATATTAGGTTTATTCGAAAGTCAAATCTCGATGATCCCATAGAGCGTTTTTATATTTTTGAACCTTGACCGACTCTTTTCAATTTTCAGCTCACCGCCAAAGGTACAAAATGCTTGTCGGAAAACCCCGAACAATATGTACAAAAATAATGAATAAATATTTCATGAGTTCTGCGAACAGTAGACACATGAAATTTAAAATCGTAATTTATACTTCACGTTGTTTCTACTGCACCGCACTAACGCGGAAGTCCTCGCAATCCCTAAGTAGATATACGTAAAGATGGCTCAGCTTATTATTTCTTCAAGCCTTTTCACCGGTTCTTATTTTTATATTTTTTCACCTTAGTCGACTAATTTACTTATTTAGTACAAACGGTTTTTCTAATTTTAATAATAATCTTATTGGTTTGATGACGCATTCGTTATCTAGTTTATCGAAACGTTTACAACGATAATCCGGTAGAACATGAACCAAATATAATTTATAAAGAAGAATAATAACCCTTTATAATCTATATAAGTACACGTAAGTCTCTATTTTTTGTTCGGGTACAGATCGACCGAGCGTTATGAGGTGGTCCATTAGTATATGCGTCGGACATGGTATGCAAATGTATCACGGGAATACGCGTCATCCTTTATAATTGTTATTATATTTTTTTTATACGACCGTGCGTGCGTCGCGACGGTTCGGATTCGGTCTGAATACTACTCGTGTACGCGAATAATATCGTTTGGATTGAATACGTTACAGTCGAAATTATCAAAATTTCTCGAATCACGTTCTCGTTATAATAATATTACGCACCACGAAAAAAAAAAAATAATAAAAAAAATAACCATTGGTATTCTCGTGATAAAAACCAAAAGGTACGATAATGCTCGACTCATCTTTGAAATCCAGAACATTGTTCTGCGTCGAACGAAGAACAATGTAATTTAAATAACAATAATAAGTTTAATATAAATCCTACATGGAGTAGTAAAACAAAACTGATTCGATAGTTCGAATAACTGTCATCGATGACTACACGTTCGTGTTGAACGATGGCGAGACACCGAACGAATAAACCGTGTGTGTCGTGTGTTGATCTTCGTTTTTTTTTTTCTGTTGATAATCTTACGTGTGTATAAAATTAAGATAACACTCCCTCGCCCGCTGGGGGTACGTTACTACGAAGCGACGGTCGGGCGAAGAGGAAATAACAGTACGAAAACAGAAACAAGATCGTTGACTCCTGAAACCGCACAGTTTTGAATTTGACCCCAAAATGGTTATACTTACCTAGGTTAGGTATACTTAATAATTTATAATTTTATTCAAATAAAAAAAAATGCATACACGAGTATTTTAAAATTTTAAAATTATACACAAGAGACAAGACCGATGAAGTAAAAACAAGTGGTGACTGAAGTATTAAAACGTGTTAATATGATTATTGCAGTATATCTTATAATCTTATCTTATCAGTGAGTTAACACTAAGAATAGTAAGCGATTTTTAACCACTTTAAGTTTGGGGTATTTTGTTATACAAAGACCGAAAATATATGCGGTTTTTGTCTATAGACCTTTTTCGGGTCAAAATCAAAAGTGTGCTGTTTTCGGATGCAACCGACAAGATATAGCTGCGCGCGACCGTGCTAAATGCGATTCACGGCCAAGATGACGTATGATCGCATTCAGTGTTCGGATTAAATGATTAATTTTTTTTATCTAAATAAAGATAATAAAGATAATCACTTTTTTAAATTGATAAAAAAAAATTTGATCATGTTTAAATTAGTGCTAACCTAACATTATGGTTTTTTTTTATGATTATTATTATTGTATTTGATTTTTCCTTACAGCATTATAACAAATTTATAAAACTCAAACGCAAATCAAATGTTAAATAATTTTTTTTAGGAATCACAGACTACTATTCTAATAATGATACAATGCAACTGGCGAAAATGAATAACGTATTTTCGAAATTAAATATTAAAATTAATAGTGTTTTAATAACAATTTAGCAAATATTTACTATATGAAATTCAATTTATGACTATAACTCTAATGCAAATGTCATTAATAATCATGCCAATAACTGAAAGTCATTAGAATAGTACATTTTCAATTCTTATTCATAAACAATAAATATTATATCTATCGACGTGAAATAGGAAAAAAAACAATATCGTTATTTATAAATTTTTGTAAATTCTAATATTTATATTTTATAACTTATAAGCTATGATATTTTCGAGAATCTTAATAAATATTTTAATAAAATGTTAACAGAATTGTAATGATTTTGATCAATAATAAATATGTATAAATAATATAAATAATATAAATCAATAAAAAAATGTATCTTGATAAATACATCTAGATAAATAAAATATTCATATGTTCATGATATATGTTTAGATACCTTGTAACATTTACCTAAATAAGATAAAATATAAAAAATAACTATTTACATAAGTAATCTAAATAAATTTACCTAAACAATTCGCATACGTTTACGGCTGAGTCCTACCTAAGGACCTAAGTAATTGAAGTCAACGTGACCTACATGCGCTCGTTTCTCGTCAAAGCTGTTATAAAACCGTTCCAGATTTCAGCAGTATTTTTTACACGAAGATGTAGTGAATACGCTCACATGCATACCGATCGAGTTCTCTTCAATAATTTCTACTGACTTCGCAAACAATGTTCGACTGACGTTGTTAGGCCTATCGCCGTCCTATCTCCATCCTTCCTAATTTCTTCCTAATTTTCGCACGTTTTTCTGCGTTTCTTATATTCAGAAGTTTTAAATCTTCCTGTATCCTATCTATCCATCTTTGTTTCGTCCTCTAGGTTTCTTAGTACTGGATTCCATATAGTTAATAATCCAATCAATCCCTCCGATCTGCATTCATATATGTTTATAAGTATATATTTATACAGTGGCGTACATTAAACTTTATAATGGGGGAGGGATAAGGTATTTATTGTTGATATGGAATATGAAACGTCTATTTTTATATTGCCTCGGACGAAAAGTTTATGTTTTTATGATTTCAACATGATTTTGACAAATGCGAAATGATACATTTCGTAAATACGTTAAAATATTCACATGACGTGCGTATTTTTCGTTCTGATCATTTCAAAATGGGTTATTTTTTTTTACTCCTCAGGGGGATGATTCATCCCGAATCTCTCTCCTCACACTCTTTGAATTACACTGCACGTATAAATTATTTATAGACAGAACCGCATTTAGGGGGAAGGGAACTGGCTACAACTGCCCCGAGCGCCAGTTTTTTGGGGGCACCAAAATGTTATGGTGAGAAATTTGCTCACTTGGGAATTATTGACATTCTAAAATTATTTTGAAATTATTATTTTTTTTTTGTTTTTAATAACAGTATCATAAATTAAAAATGATGTATTTAATTTATTACTATACAACGTAATATACTATATAATACATAATGTATATGATTAATTTATTTATAGCAATATAGCTATATAAATACCAGCGATCCAGAATATTATTAATATACCTAATATTAGTTCCCAAATTTGCTGTGGTAATGTCAATAAACAAAAGTTATTTAATAATAATACGGCGTATTATGTTATCGCGTTCGGCGTGCGGTGGCGTGCCTACTACACAAAAATAGCATTGATTTAGAATATCTTCTAAAAAGGTTCATGAGGATCTATTTCCTATATTTTCTGCGGCGGTCATCAAAACCGCACACTTACCGTTCATAACCGCATGCATTTATTTTATTGTTAAAAAGGAAAATTTTAAAGGTCGATAGTTCAAAACCGCACACATTTCATTAACATTTCTTTTTCCCTGCACACTTTGCATGTTGCGGTTCACGTTGCCGTTTCGTATGATTCCCACTCATAATCGTTTTTTTTTATCCTGTGACCCATTTGAAGAGGTGTTGCATAGCAAATCGGGGGATATTTTTGTTTTTAACTGTCCGAGCGAGTGACACCGCCCGGTCTCGAGGTGCACTCATGTTATTTTAGATAAATGTATACGTTATTGATATATATATATATATATATATCAACGTGTTCGGTATTGAACGGTTTAATTTTGCGGATATATGTGGGATTAAGATATAAAAGTAAGCGGTTTTGAACGACGCCCATTTTTTGTGGGTAGGCCCCTTAGAGGGGTACCAATTTTTTTTTTTTTTTTTTTTTGCGACGAGGCGCAAAACGTCTAGATACGGCACTGTTAATAGAACACCTTCAGTTTATAATCTTTAAACGTATAGTTCAACGTTATTGATTTATTAATGTATTGTTTGCGTACAGCGGGTGAAATAATCGTTTTTGTCTTTTTCTGTTTACCCCTGTACCCATCAGGTTGGATAAACTCGGCCATCAACCCGTTCATATACGCGTTCGTCAGCCCAGACTTTCGCATGGCGTTCTGGCGGTTGACGTGCAGCTACTGCGCCGGCCACAAGCCCAACCCGAACGCGCCACACAACCGATTCGTCATCAGGTACAGCAACTACTCGCGGAACCAAGTGTAACCTGCGGACCAGGATCGGCGGAAGGAGACGGGGCCGAACGTGATTTTGTCGGTTTTCACGGTGGACGGGGGAGGTTTAATTAAAATAAAATATTTTTAAAAAAAAAACGTTTATCACGAGATGATGACACGTGTGTAATATTAAATAAATACTGTGTGTGCAACTATGCGTATATCGACGTGTTTGTCCGTGTAATACGATATTATTATGTATTTAGTGACGAGCGAGTCCGGACTGGATGTTACGACGGATATGTAAAATGACAAATTGTTTTTTGTTTTTCGTTTCCCCCCCCCCCCCCCCAGTACAGTACGACAGTCGGCACGAATCTAAAAGTTAAAATACGTACGTTTCGATGAATTAATATGTTTTCCAGTTCCACGGTCTTCCGGATCGAACCGCGATATCAAACTTAACACCAACGGTATTATATGACGGCAATGATGACGTGCCGCAAGGTAAACCGTCCAAAACAAATCTGAAACGTTAAGGTTGTGCGTCGATGCACAGATCGATGAGTTCTGTTTGGCGTACGTGGTTCGATTCGAAGTTCTTGACGACGTTCCATACACTTCGAACACGTTCAGGTACGAGTTTTGGTTTTTCACGTAACTCGTCAAATATTTTTCGACTTTTTTTCTACCATCGCAAATAATTTCGAAACTGTCCGTTTAACGAATTACATGGGCGACACGCGTGCCAAATACACGACATGTTGGTTAGATTTCAATGGCACGTGAAAAAAAAAAAAATGATTTAAAATATAGAAAACCCGCTGAGTCAGGGCTGTTGCTAAACAATTATTTCGATTCGACACGGATGCTTGGTATACTTATTCATACATACGTGTCTAAGCACTTGGAACGTTTTGAGTACCGATTCAATCGCAACATGTGACTTGAAAAAGGCCGTCCCGGGCTTAAAACGTAAACCGAAATCGTGTTCAACGTTAACGATTTCGTCCTGACCAGCACGGTTTAGTTTATTAGTCCTGGAATAGAATCGCGAATACGTGCAGGTGGCATTAAATATCCATTAGACAATGGTGTCTTGGCACTTGTTTAACACTCGCCGATCGTTCCAACAAGACTTTGCCCGAAACTTCTTCTATTATCGACGTGCAGGTGTTCCCCATCCATCCGACCGTCGTGCCGAATGTTTTCCTCTACGTTGGTCGAAACGCGTATAACACCAAAGTGATCGTTGAAAATCGCGTACAACAATTATTGCCGAGTGATTTTCATTCGATTTGTACTACTGTCGTTTAAAAAGAATCGTCAGGCTTCCTAAGGCGTCTAGAAAATTAGGATTCGACCAACAGTTCTTAAATGGTTTTACATCACACCATATTCGATCATCATCAGGTATCATTTATTGCTACGCGATTACTTGTTAACGACACTACACGTTTGGGTAGCGCGAAAATTAACCGTTTCTTTTCCGTCGTATTATACATCGTAGTGGTGTTTGCGGGTTTTTCTGTTAAAAATCCATCGCCGTAACAAACATCTCCGTGCAACAATGATTTTTTTATTGATTTTTTTCCCAATAATATTCGCGAACAATTTCCGGTCTGTTGTATTCTTATAACGCATCTGGTACATTATTTTATAACCAGGGTTCGGAAGTTATAGGAGTTGGGTATTGTTCTGTATGCTCTCGATTTATAGCAGACCAAGCTAGAAATCGGAACTAAAAAATGTTGAGTTTAAACATTAAAAATTAAAAAAGTCATATTTTGCATAAATCGTTAATTTTAGAGAAAAATTACATATTTTGTCGATTTTCAATGATTTTCGCATATTTATATGCATATATGTTTCGTGAAAAAATTCATTTTTTTTCGTCTTTAACTCTTTCCGGCACGAGAATAATGATAAAAAAAATACCCTACTTGCATACAGATTGAAATTTTCTAAAATAACCTTTATTTGAAGTACATTTAACTTTTTATGTATTAATATATCACAAAAAAACAAGAATTAAAATTTTTTGATTTTTAGTTTAAGTTCTGTGGTAGGTGGGATGACATGTGTCCCGCCGTGCATGAATGGGATAGACCTGGAAAATGATTAAATTAATTTTTTTTTTTTATACATAAAAGTTAATTAAATCTTACTTTTTATGCATTGTGGTATTCAGCAAAACAATTCCGGGTTTTCCCTAAGCATAGGGGAACTTCACAAATTGAACATATCCAGTCGGTTCTTACTTCTTTTAGTTTTGAACTGCAATTATTGCATCTTCTCCTAGTCGATCTTTGTGGTTGATGTGCTGACTGCTCTAAGCGGACTTCTTTGGGTACTGCCGGACTTCCTTTTTTTAAATGCTTGGGTGTTACTGGTGAATCAGATGAACTACGGCGTTTTTCAATCAATGTTTTAGCTACCAGCTCCCTTGATACTTGACGCCGAAATTCTTTCATACACATATTTTCTTTTGTTATATCGTTGTATAGAATACGAGCATTAACAATTGTTGCATCGAAAAAAAAGAAAAATATATGGTGCCACCATTTTTGACTTTTACGATCAATTTGGTAGGTTTTTTTATTTTGATCAAATTTATCAACACAATTCATATAAGAATTATAATCCTGAAGTACAAATGGGCATGGAACCATAGATATAGTTCCATCTTTTACCTTACGTTTTACTTGCGTTACATTTTTAGGATCATGGAAATTTGATAATAAATGTATGATTCTTTTATCTTTCTACTTTATAATAGATACATTATTGAGATCACTTATTTCCCAATCATAATCACCAACTTTTAATGTTGTGTCTGGTTTCATTTTTGGTAAATATTTACGTGACGAATTAATTGTTCCACACGCATGGATTCCTTTTGTTTTTAAATAATTTAATAAAGGTACACTTGTAAAATAGTTATCTATATATAAGCAATGGTTTTTTTTTTGTATGGGAAATGATAGATTTTTTACAACACTTCCTCCAAGATCTTTTTGAACGACATCACCAACTTTACCAATATATATATCAAAATTCCATAAGTAACCTTTTTGGTCCACCAAAGACCAAACTTTGTAGCCCCTTTTTATCGGTTTCTTGGGCATATACTGTTTTAATGTGGACCTCCCTTTAAACTTAATCATTGATTCATCAACTGCGACTATACGGTGTGGATTATAATATGTTTGGAAATTTTGTTTGATTTTTGTTAAAAAAGGTCGTACTTTAAAAAGTTTGTCATATCCTATGTCTCCTCTTTTTGGCATCAGTACATTATTATTTATGTGTAATGTCGAAATTAACCACCCAAAACGATTAACTGTCATTAAATTACTAATATACGAGTCATGGAGATCTGGAGACGACGACCAATAATCTCTATAACTTGGCATACGTTTAATACCCATCAACAAATTTATACCAAAAAAAAGTCTTTAACTCTTGTATATTAGTCTGAGTGTAAGGTTTACCATTTGTCTGACTTCTCTGAAACGAATATAAGTTTGTTTGTTCTACTAACATGTGGATTATTTCATCAGAAAATAAATAGTTAAAAATTGAATAAGGCGTATGACATTGAAATGTATCAACAGAATCACTGGGCCCTACTGGACTTTCAAAATCTGGCAATGGAGGCCAATTTGAAGTGAGGTTTTTTGACCAATTTGGAGGTGTAAATTCAAATTCTGGTGTATTTTCTACGATGGTATTGTCAATAGTCGATGGCGGTTCAAAAAGGGCGCGAGAAATAGTTTTTTTCCTTTTATTTGTAAGATTCATATTATTAGTTTCAGGCGTTAGCGTAGCGTTTGAATTTAATTTTAATGCATATCGAGTTTTTTTTGGACTTGGTAATGTCAAAATATCACCATTATTCAAACATAAAATTTCTACAAGCTCGTTACTTTCTTCGTTTTCGTCAGATGAACTACTTTCGACGACTTCAATTGCTTTTTGCTGAGATGGTAAATAATCATGGTCATCAAAATCATCAATATCAGTGAGACTGTTATCATCAGAAGGTAAATCTTCAAAAAGATAGTCTACAATATTATCATCGTTCAAATTATGATTCATTATTACACCAATAAGTGTTCGAAACAAAAACGAAAAAGTGACAAAAATGAAACAAAAACGACCCAACCAGCACCACGGGTTAAAATTCGTACCACCACAAAAATCAATTTATCGAAAAAAATAATAATTATTTTTCATTTAATAGTTCACACACTCAAAATATATAGTATTATTTATATTATATAAAAACTCCGGAAAGATTCGACAAACAGAAACGACTGAAATGTACAAATTAATATTTTAGTCAGAAAAACGAACTGTAGGCACAATCGAAATACCATTATCGTATAAAATTCGTGGAAAAATATTGATATATCTTGATTTAATTTTAAATCCGATTAATAACAGTATACACATATATATTAATAGAACAGGGAAAATAATATCCATTTATAGTATAAAAAAAAAAATAGTTTATAGGTGGGTTATTTTTCATACCGCCGTGCAGCAACGGTCGGCGTTTTGGTGGGATAAACGTTGTCCCACCATGCTGGAAAGAGTTAACCAATTTATTTTAATAATGTTACAGTACACAACGCTAAAAACGCGGAAAACGTGCATCATAACTCATTATTATTTTTCGAGGTTCTTTATTGTTATTTTTTATTGTCTACTATAAATTTAACGAAAATGTTGGTGGTTCAATGCAATAACCTAACAGGTATTATACAACATATATTTATTTCGTATTTCACAAATAATGAAAATATATTTATTTGACTATTTTTTCAATAAAATCTCAAATGCCAACCAGTTATGCACCATGTCTTAGTTTTTAATAATACAAATTTTTTAAATATAGGTTTTTAGAATTTACTAATTAACTTTTAATGAATAAATAAATATTTTTTTTTCATATTTCACATTTTTTCATGCATATTTTATCATTTTTTCGTGCATATTTGTATGCATATTTTACCTTTTTGGGCTCATATAACATCCAAACCCTTTGATAACGATAACAAAGTGGCGAGTAAGAAATTATAAAATCCTCCGGATCGTAATTGACAGTACATTTTTATACTACCGCCGTCGGAGCTACAGTACGTACTCGTTTTGTTATCGAAAAATTGAAATCGAGTTTTACTTCTTTTGACAGTTTCAAACGGAAAACATTATTACCGCGTTCGAGATTCGAGCAGACAAATCATTTCACTTGACACGAAATTTGGTTTTAGTTTAGTTTATTCCCTCCTCCTCCTCCCGCCCAAAAATTGTTATCAGCGTTATTTTTATAAAATTACATAACCCCCGCCGTCAACGTTGACATTTTAAACTTCACAAATGTCTCTGAAAATATTATACATCATACATCAAATAGTTTAGTTGAGTTTACGGTTGTTACGATTCATCCGGGTATTTTTTCGTCTCGTCATAATCAAGAAGTTCTTTAAATTCAAAATATTCATCCCCAACGTTAGGTTAATAGAGGACGTTGAGTACGAGACTGTCATGGAACGTTTGACAAAAACTCTTAAACGATTACGGTAAATAATTAAAATCTTACTTTTCTACGGGAATCGATCCGACGGTATTCTGATATCAATGTTTATGTGTAACATTGATGCGAAAAAACCCGCATAAAGGACACATTTTTCATCCATTATTGCGTATAATATTGACCAATAACTACAAGACGTAATTCGACGATATCGCAGAAGACGTAAATCTGAACTCGGAACAGCGTTCACCGTGTAAGGGCCGTCGTACGTTTTCTTTATACGTCACCGGGGAGAATCTAGGGAGGATTACGGAGATCAGCCGACCCAGTTAATATTCGTCGACGAAATCGGCCTCTTGAAGACTTCTTATATTTTTTAAGGGTTTTAATAGGTTGAAGCTAATACTAAACGAGACAAATGCCCTAGATTCCAACCGCACCCCAAAACGACGTCACTGGCTTAATTGTAATTGGTACGATTAAACATCTCTACGCCGTACTCCGTGTAAAACGGAATTACACTCCGTAAATGTTAATGTTTTCAATGGTGTTCATAAGTAAATCTAATAATACACGTTACGTGATCATTTGTGTTTTTTTTTTTTTTTTTACAAGGTATAATACCGTTTCGACCCCCATAAGTGGCTTCTTGAAATAGCCTGGCCCACAGTCCTCTAACTGCGGATCCGCCCCTGGACTCGACTGCATAATCACGCAGTATCGATGCAATATCGGCCGTTTCGCATCAGAACCAACTAATCAGACGGTGGATGGTATCGCATCTCGTTTGTAGAACAATATTAAAAGCGTATAAAACAGTGGCATAATAATTCCGCTAAAGCGTTGCTTCGCGATTTTACATAAAACGCCCGTGTCAACTTCAGAGCTAATCATCATCGGGGACTGTTTTTGAATAGTGTTTTTTGTTATTTTTATTCCATCCCGAACAAACAACACACTTTTTTCAAACGCTTCAACCGCATTGCTATTTTTTGTTCGATGTCCGATCAATAGCCAAACCGTGTCCAATACACGTAGTGTCTTCGATGTAGTTTTTCTACTCCCGTGCGTATTGCATACTCTCGTCAGTAATCCAATAGCCAAGCGGACAACAATTATACCAATAACGTGCACTGCGAATATTATGCTGAATCTATTTCGAAAACGATTTCATATAAAAGCGTAATCCGCTCCGATGTACCACTCGTTCGTTTATTGTAATCGAGTTATTATTTCTGCGGACCGAATTCTGATTCCGTTCAGTTGAACGTTTGTTTGCGTTTAATTTAATCCCATTGGAGTTTCGATTCATTCAATGTGACTTTTCCCGGGCAACAAGACAATTGATACTCGCTTCTACAGCGTTAGACGATAATGTGTAATTATTTTCGATTAAGCCACATTGTAAATGTGACATTTTCAGAAAACACTTAACAGCACTACCTAAAAGCGATTCAATAGAAAGCGATTTTCGTGTAGGTAAGATACCCATATGATTATCTGTTCCTGTTTTTACCTGCAAATTATTATGTTTTGTTTTTTTTACTGTTGCGATCAATTACAATTATCGTAAATGTAATTGCCCGACGCTTTCTTCTTATTTTCCTTTCTTCTTCTTCGTCCGCCCAGGTAGGGAAAAAATACTGCTCTCGAAATGTACGATAAGAATTAATTGAAACTAAGAGTAAAAATAAAACACAAATTATTACATCGAATACAATATTGGACACAAAAGTGTTAGGAAACGCGTTTAGAGAAAATGCTAAGGATATTAAACCTTGAACACATAATATTTATACTTATAAGTTTGTTATTTCGACGGTTACGTCTGACACGGATCCGGTTTTTCATCTCATTTAAATATCATTGTTTCTTTTTCACAGTGAATGCACGAAGTGATCTGTTTACGTTTAATACATAACATTATGAGGCTGAGCGAGTTTATTATTTTTATAACTTAATAAAATATTTCAAAAATAAGTTCGATTATTCTCACTCCCTTTATGTTTTATAAAATTAAAAACTTGTATTAATAAAAACGTATGTTAACACATTAATATAGTGCATCAGTTTTTTTTTCTTTTTAGCATATGGCATCGACGTACAAAGATGAATAATTTAAAATAAAATCATTACAAATGAATATAATGTAAAAATAACAATGATATAGAGGTAACAATACACATATTAGATAATGTAAAGAAAAATTAAAAAACTACAACAATAGTAGTTCTTCTCGAAGTTCCTATCCGTTTCGGATGTTGGAAATCATATTAAATGTTGCTTCTCTTTCTAACGACGAACGAAACAGTTCGTCTATTGTTTCACTAGACCAGTGGCGGAGATTTTTCATCCGAGATGTATAATAGTAGTAAAAATTATAATTATAAGTAAGAGCTAGATGATATAAGTGTATGGTAAAATTGCGTAGCCGAATCGTTGCTTTTTGTTCGCCCTTATGCAGACCTGTTGTTCCTTCGCTAAACATTGTTTCCGGTCATTCCACAACAATGTGTCGAATAGTTTGGACTCGATCACAGAAAGGTGAGTGAAGTAGTTCAGTTCGTGTAATGTTTTTATCCGAGTTTTGAACCCAAGACAAAAAGCCTTGAAAACATAAACTATTTAGATCGACACATATTTTTTAATCATTAAAAACTACATTTATTGTATTTTTTTATTTATTTTATTTGTATAGTTTTGTAGTTTAGGACGCCATATATTTGATTATAGCGTTTCCGTTAATTTAGCTAGTGTAACCTGTATTTTTGTTTATTTGGTTTAATATTTTTAGTTATGTTATGTATGTTTTCATCGAAAGCGACGCCATATAAAAGAAGAAAAATAAGGCTTGATCGGGAAGGCACACAGCTGTGGAAACTTATACAAACAAAGTTACAGGTTAAAAATGAAAAATAAAACTTACACGTTAATGTCCATTTTTGTATGTATACAAAAGTGGTCATTTGACCACTGTCAACTGATATATCATTTTTTTTTCCCAATACTGCATAAAATAATAATACGGTCAACGCTTTCAAATTTTATTGTCATACTTTTGTTTAATTTGATCTACAGTTATACAATTGTTTAGTTTATTTAGACACTCGTTGTTCAATGTACTTAAATATTAATTCCATTTCCTCGAACATTTTCGAACGCTCTGCGAGAAACACTTTTGGATTTTATGTTATATCACTAAAAATTTATCGAAATAAATTGTTCGCAGGTAGTACTAGAGTTAAAAATTATCATTTACCGTTTAAATGGGTTCTCTTTAACACAAAAACATTTTGGACGCAGTCATTTGTTTTTTTTCCAAAACACGCTTCAAAAATTTAAATAATTCTATCGCCATAACCAGTCAAACGAAGGAGTAAAAAAAAAAAAAACCGTTACGCCACACGGAACGCAACAAATTGAATACGTATTCAAATGAAATAAAATTATGTTCTGTAGTCCGTCAAACGGGGAAAATTTTTGAGATTTTAAAACTAAATACCCGAACGCGTATTGTATCGGACAGATACATGCCAACAAGCACGCTCGTCGCTTATATAATAATTAATAATATGCGTTACCGACGAATATTTATTCGTTATACGAAACGGACAGCAGAAATGTCTACATTTGATTACAGGATGTAATACTTCTTATGGTATGCACCATAAGGGTTTGAAGTATAAAATTTACTTTAATCAATTATTTATTTATCTATTAGTGTCTATATTTATAGCGTTTGTGTGACCATACAATTTTATACTTGTACGTCGGTATTCATAACATACACAATTCGGATATTTAATTACATTGTTTAATTCGTTTAATGCGTACGATCTCCTGTAACATCCTCATGTACTAAATATATTGTGTTCCGTGTAAACAAAAAGTATTATGTTTTTACAATACAATAAATTATCGTTTTTTTTTTTTTTTCTTTACTGTTTATATTAACATTGTAATTTATAATTTGATGTTCTATCGACTCGAGTATAAACTGTAAATAATCAAAACGTGTAATTGAAAGAAATAACGTAAAATGTATGATGTAGAAATATATCGGCGTATTAATGTTTTGTTAATACCGATTCGATGACCGTTTACTAAAATATATTAATTTATTCCGATGTGTTTAAATACGATAAAGTATGTATTATTTTTGTGATTCATTAATTATTATATGGATGAATATTAATATTGTTGTAAAATATTTATCTGGTACGTTCGTGGTATTTCCTGGGCACGTAACACAGTAGTTATAACTTTACTGCAATGTGACCGAAAATCGAATTACGACTATAAGTCACGGATTTTTATGCGTTTCTCGATGCTGATAAAAAAAAATAATTGGTGAATTATAATATCCTCCGGAGGGGATAAGACGTTTTTTCTTTTCACGCACATTTTTTTAAATTATTTTATCAATTGTCTCATTGGTACTGCGAAACTCTGGTTTTGGCGTTCGGAAGGCTGAACGGCGTAGACAACTGATACGACGAGCTAAACGACTGCATCGACCGCGCCTTCGGTACCGCGGGTCGGCAATTCTACTTACCCGCGACCACCGCAGCCAAAAAGGCGAACGCCTCATTGAACAATATTTACCTATAGCTCAAAATAAACCGGGTTAGACGTACGTCTTCGAGACGATAAACACCCGTACGTGTGCGCCGATGTTTTGCGCATCGAAAAAAAAAAAAAATCGAGTACCCCTTCACGTAATAATCGTGCCGCTGCGCCCGACCGACATAATTTCGTCTGGCCCGCGGACAAGTGGGGAAAACAGTAAAAATTGGATGATAAAACGCATTGGTTTTTTACCGGCTGACATTGTACTCGTTGCCAAGCACGTCTTAAAGTTCGAAACGGTTGACCGTCCGAAAACATTGAAATATTAATCGGTGACCCTTGGCCGTACGCCATAGATTCTTAACCTTTTGTGGGCCATGGACCCCTTTGAAGCTTAAAATAATAATCATGGAACCACTCCAAAAAAAAAATTAAATATTATTTTTATTTTTATTGTTTTTACAATGACTATATTAAACTATTGCGAATAATCGAGTTTTCTTGTGTTTAAAAATAAGACTCGACGTGACACTTGCTGTTTTTTTGATTGCCTTGAAATCTGGGACCACCGTATTGGACAGAGCAACGTACGTACCGTCCACGGATGTCCAATCGATTCCTAGCTTTAGTTACTGTACGGGTTCCGTGTTCAAATGAAACGCTCGAGCGCGGTCGTTAGATCGTGTTGCCACGCAATATTTTACGTTTGCGATAACTTTACACGGCGTATAAGATTATCGTGATCTAATCCGGGATATTTAAAAAAAAATATTGTTGGTCAACCGATTTTGGCAGAATGCGGCAAAGAAGTTATTATTGTTGTCTTAAAAACGCAATCGAAATGGATTTATTTTTTGGGTAATTTAAATCATAAACTCACAACCGTCCTGCGGACCCTCCGATTAAGAACCTGTACCGTACACCAATGCCACCTGACCCCGAGGGCGACCACCTGAGGATCGTGGGCGTGATGGGAACCCAAATATTGACGGTGCTCAAATCACTGAAAATAAATTTAAACGGTATTCAACTGTGATTGCTATAGATTTTATAGATCTGAATAAAAACAGGAGTGCTACGTTTGAACTCAGGGGTGCTAAAAACTCTATCGTACTCCCCCAATCGGGCCTATGCTGAGGAGGTCGGTTCGGATCCTCGCTCGTCCCGAACCTTTGCGATCACCCTGTTCCGTCGACTGTTCCGCTTCGTTAGCGTTGCTGAACTTCGAAGTTCGGTCACGCGCACAAAGCGTATACACATTTCTTGCGTTCCGTCGGTCGCTCGCCGCACACGATCTCCGCTCCGCCGACGATCCTGTAAAAATTAAATCTAATAATCCTGTGTCGCATTCGGTTTTCGCGGCGAAGCGATGCGAATTGAAACATTATAGTTTCAACGGTTCGGCTGCTATCGGGTGTTCTCGGCGGCATGACGGGTGGTTTGCAGAACGGTTTTTAACTCTCGGAAGAGAACAAGAGAATAACAAACGAAATAATTACAAAACATTTAATTCACATCGAACAAACGTGTGTACAATTATTAAAACATAAACAATATCGTTATGATTATTCTACGTGTTATTAGGTTTACAAACATTTCTACATAAAACTGATATACGACTACAGTTTTGAAAACTTACGAAATATTAAAAGAAAAAAAAAATACTGAAACATGTATAATATAAATAAATATCCTTACGCTAATAATTCGTTTGACAAATGTTGTTTGGTAACATTATTGAAAGAAAATGAAATACGCTCTTTGTTATACTAAAGGCCAAAGAGAGAGAGAGAGAGAGAGAGAGAGAAACGTAAATACAAAAAAAAAAAAATTAAAAATAAGTGAAAACGCATAACCGTAAAAATATTTACGCGGAAGTTATGTGTTGACGGGGGTGTTTCTCGGCCGAGATGTACGCTCGAAATGTTCGTAATGCACGATTAGAGGGGGGTGAGCATCTCGGCACGCGGGGTGGGGGAAGGTGATATGTTAACACGACGTGTCGGGCAACAACACGCGGACATTTCGGTAATTTCTGGGGAGGGGACACTCGTTCGGATAAAACGAGTGCGCAATCGCGGGGCCGAAACGAGCGGAAACACACGTTTCGGAAACGATTATTCGGTTTTCATCCCTCATCTCTTCTTTTCTCTCTATCTCTTTCGCCGGACCGTGTATCGTTACGCGATCACGTCCAAGACAATATTTACAATTGGCGCGCGCGTCGTCCCGTCAGCAGGACACGAAGCGCACCGCCCTACCCTACCCCCCCCCCACGGACCCTCGAGTTTTGGCGGTGTGGGGGTGGGTCTGCGGTCGGGCGGCGGGTCATCACGAGCTGTGCGCGACGGTGAACGCGGCGCTGGACAGCGACGCCGTGGACTGCACCTCGTTGGTGATCGGCAACGTGGTCGGGCTGGTCCGCTTGCCGTCCGTCGCGTAACACCGCTTCTCGCCGGTGCACATGGACTTCACTTTCAGGCTCATCGGGTGCAGCAGCTCGTCGCTGGTCGTCTCCTCCTTGTTCCACAGGTCTGTAACGCACCATCGAGAAACACACGGTTGTAGAACGGGTGACCAGAGCTAACCCCTACCGACGCGAGCGATTCATCGGCAAAGCAACAAATATCAATCGTTTTACCCGCTTCGCGAGTATTCGATTTTTTTTTTTTTTTTTTTTTTTTTTTTTATCGATCGCCATCTGAATTCTGATGTTATTCAATACTCCCGGTCGTACTGATTAGTGATAAGTAGGGAACGGATTTAAATTCAATAAAAAATTAAAAATATTTAAATATATATTTGTTTATTACTTCATATGTATATTTATTTATAGTATTGAAATTGAAAATGAGATGTAATTCACCATAATTTATAAATAATACGTAATACAAAAAGATAAATGTTTATTACGAATCGTCCGAATATTCTTCACGGGAGAAACAATTAGAAACGACATTAAATTCGGTATTTTCAAATTTTAAATTACGGTTATTCAATCATAGTATCGCTTTATGACGGTTAAATGACTTCTCCACATCAACGGAAGTGACAAGTGCATATTTCATACGTGTTAATTCGTTTGGACTGTACTCTATTTATAAATTGTTTTTTTGGAATTTTGTTTAATAGTATTTCTCTATCGACTTTACAGCCTTAAGTCCTGAGGTTTTTTCCAATATTTTTTGTAATTTAGAGTTTGTTAAAACTCCAATTTCTCCAGAAACGCGTTATAATTGCTTTATGGCACTATCTTCTATTTCTAGGCTCTCGGTTAATCGGTTAATGTAATTTTAGAAGTTTCTAATTTTGAAATAGTACTAACTAAAAATCCAAAATTAGCGGAAATAAGTACTAAATGGTTTTGAGGGTTTTTTGAAATTTGTACCTACTTCCTAGATAAGATATTGTACAGACTTAATCATATATTTTCGTCCATCGTAAAATACTAAAATAAAAACGGAAATTCTACAATAATATAGATTACGTATATTTATTAGTAAAATATTTAAAATAAAATAAGTTCATTCAAAATGAAATGAAATATTGACACATATGTCAATAACTACATTAAAATATTTATTTAAATTAAAATCGGTTCCCTAGTGATAAGGGATAAATTACTGATGAAGAATAGTATTAACGTATTTCCTTAAAAATTATCTACCTATTTTTATATTGTATATATACTATATAAATTGCCAAAACAAAAATAATCACTAATGTAAAAAAAATGAGTAGCAAACTAATTTCAAGATAAAAAACAAAGAAATCGAAAATTTAATTTCCCAATAATTTGTATTTTGGATATACTACTTGTTTCGCCAAGAGGACATTATAAGAATCAAGAAAAAAGGAGAAAAAAACAATTGATTCCTGTAACGATAAACCATTTACGCAAATCGTAAAATATCACTTAGCCAAACATTACAACAAACGAATGTTGCGGTAAAACGAAAAGATACATGCAACGATGAATACCGGAAACAAAATGATATTAAAAACACGTTGTTGAAATGTTCATAATTTTTTCATAATAATATGTAAATATTATTCTAAAAATATATTCCAACGTATGGATTAGATTTATATTTTCATTTATGCATTAACATTAATATTGGTTTTAAGTAAACAACCGTATAGGTAATGGAAAAAAACAATGATTAACTGTGTTAAAGGAGTTATTAATATTATAACATTTAATTGTTCTTGTTTAAAATTATTTTTCTTATGGATAAAACTCGAAAGTTAATATTCAAATATAAATAACTTTATTCAAGCGATTCATTTAATCATGTTGTACATTTGAGCAATTTGATATGTGTCAATATTTAAGGAGTGAAATAACTGTGAGCGCAATTAGTTATTGATTGCTTTTCTATATATTGCTTTAGTCGCGTCATAGCCCACAGCCCATCGACCAAATATGGACTCATGGAATCATAATAATAAGGAACTAAAATAAACATATGTGATATTAAAAATGTATCTATTTAAATGTTTATGAAATATTAATGACTGATAATGAAACTTTATTTTGTTGAGTTATAATATGCATCTGACTCGATTTTAATTTCTAACCTCATAAGTATCTTTAAAAGTACACCCCTTTCCTCTCTTATCTAGTCGTTGTTCTGGTATACTATATTTTAATACATGAAATTACGCTTAACTAATATAAGATTAAGTAAAAGTTTAATGTTTAAATTTCTAACGATTCTTTAATTTTTAAATGACAAAAGTTATAAACGTTTTTGATATCCTATATCGAAAAATATAAACAATTAGTTACGTTTCAGTTCCTAATAACGGAAATTTTAAAATATAAATTAATAACGTTAAGGCCCCCAATAGCGATAAATGTAAAAATTTAACGTTACCCGTACAACGATAAACGTAAAAACTTAATGATGTTTGAATTAACAATAAAGATGAACGAAATAAAATTGATAACGTTCAACTCGAGCCGAACGTATAGGTAAAACATAAGATGCAGTTTATTGTTTGTTTTTCGTTTTAAGGGAGTGAAAACTCGTAACGCAAAAAAATATCAAATACATAATTTTCATATCGGTTTCGGTTTATTTTGCAATACCAGTGATGTAGGCTTTCGGATAAATCGGTTCGTGGCCGTTATTATTTTAACGGTACATAATTTTTCGACAAAATATTCTTGTGGTAAGATTCGATGCACAACGGCGGAGCTAAAACAGTGGCGTAGCAAAGGCTTCTACAAAATGGGTGCCACACAGCAGATTTAAACATAAGACATTGGTTTTATTGCCCTTATAGCGCTTGGTGTAAGGTAAAAAGGTTTAGTTTATGCACTGGATTCGGATAACGAACAGTTCAAATGTTAAAAGTATAAAACGACGCGAGTTACGACAAATTAAATTTAGTACATCTATGATTGGCATAAATTACCTATATACGGTGTGACATATATGACCGAATCACTTGATTGTTCTCGTCACGAGCGCACCCTGAGCGTTTCGTAGTCGCGCAATCGTTGCCGACTTACCGTAGACAGGGTCAGAGAAGGGACCATTTTCCTTCACCCCACCCCAGTCTAGGAAAACATAAAGCCTCCTTACGCGAACGTGAACGATTCAAATTTACAAGTGAACGTTCCCAACACTGCTTAAAGTCCAGATTGATTAGAAATACTCGGCGTTACCCATTGGAGACTGTTGTCATTACTACATCATTTCTGAACTATTTTTCATTGTGAAATATGAATAAATTTAATTAAAAATAATTTATCTAGGAATGGTTTAAATTTTAATTAAACGTGGTAACTGGTGATTGCAATATCGAGAAGTTATTAAAAATGTAATCTATTGTATCAATGGATTCAAATAACCTTGATTGATTGAAGTTTGAAAAACTACATTTACCAACATATGCAAGCTTAGCATACAATTTTTTTAATCATAGTCGTATATTATTGCATTGATTGAAGGGCTCCCGAATCCATTTTTCCCGGGCCATAAGAATTCTTAGGACGATTCTAGCCGTAGGCACTTGGTAATATACACATTTATGGCGTTCGCATTGGTTTTAGAACGTACTAGACAACAACGGAAACTATTCCGAGATCAATGATAAAGGTAATAATCGATAATTTCGTGTTGAGCACACAATTAACGGATTGTTATGATTTATAAGTTGAATACTCCTTATCTTTTACAAATATACAATACATACGGAAAAAAAAGCATATGTATCATAGATATGAACAAATGCGTTCAACATTTCGATATTTTATTTGACTCGAGCGCACCGGAAGTACCTATTATAGTAGAGATGATAATTGTGATTCGCTTCAATGAATCAACTAATACGGTTCAAATCGCTTTAATTAGTCAATTAATCAAGTCAACTCCCAATTCTCAATTAATAAGTCAAACTATATCTTGATCAAATCATGATTTAGACCTAAATCTTAATGAATCGATCAAATCTATTAAATTATAAAATGTTTTCCAACTAATGAGTTATCATGCACCCCAACTAAATTAAGTTTTAAATATGAATACAGATCATGATTATGAATAAAAAATAATCGCGTAAAAGATATTTTATGCATTTAAACAGAAATGCACATACAAATTTAGAAGAATATTTAAAAATCTTATTTTAATAAAACACAATTTACTATGGAAAATACTTTCAAATACATTTTTTTTTTAATAAATATTGTTAATAAAAATTTGTATGAATGTGTAATGTATTCACCTCAGGTGATAATGCTTTTAAGTCGGTTTTTGTTTTATGGTTTTTTTTTTTAAAAAGTTTCTATCACTAATATTAGCATGTGCGCACTGTTATCATAAGTGCGTCATCCAAAGGCCCTCGATTATCGAAACGGTGGGAAGGTCAACATGTTAATGATCTTAAATCGTAATTGTGTTTATAATATTGATAGCTGGACGCGTTTCTAGAATTCTCATTGTTACACTGAACTTACTGATAAGACGATAACTATAGGTTTAGTCATTTGACTGATTCAACTTATTTACAGGCTTGGTTCAGTTGTCTCAGAACATGAAAAAATTAAAGTGTATACTACCCGTCGACTTATTCATAATCCTTTTACGGTATTGGTTTTGGTACCTAGTGTTACATTAAACCGCCGTGTCACAGATTTGCGACACACTGCATAAATTCATTGAAAAAAACGCGAATCACTAATAAGCCACACCAAAATACCGTAGTAACTAAATATTGTGCCCGGGGTGAATATTCAAAATGCGCCCTAATGTATTTTTAATTTAAAAATAATATAGTAATAAGATTGTATTTTCAACAACTACTTCAATCAATATAAAGGACGTTGAATTTTTTGAAAATAAAATATGCAACGTTTCCCGTCGTAATTATTAAAATAAAGTGCACATTTTTCATTTTTGCATCCTCTCAAGAATTGCACTCAGGGGCGCAGGCACCTCTCGCCCCCCTCCTTTGCTACGGCCAGAACCACGCGTCCATACACTCTAGCATGACGATGAAAGTTGCACACATAACAGAAATACGTGGTTATTTAAAACAACCATTGTGCTTTAATTGTACGTCAAGAGGAAACGAATGTTTCGAAACACCGATATCGAGTGTTCGGATCCATTGCCGGTGAAGATCCGTCTGAAAACGTAAAATACCACCACGCGCGTACAACGTTACTATCGCTTTGCTCGGAATTCGCAAAATATTTCCGAACTGATATGGTCAGCCGTAAAATAACACCGAACAATAGGTTGGTTTACACGTAGTGCGTGCAAAATGTGTTCGTCATTTAAAGGTATAACATAATTTTAAAAATTATCGATGAAGGTCAGGTCGGTTAGGCGAACAAACACGCCCGTCGTCTGGAACTCGGCAGGTATAAGTACGCGTGACCACGGGTTCGCGCACCGTCCCTACACTTGTAAATAGAAATATAGGAAAAAAAATTGAAAAAAAACAATGACCAGCCCTGTATCATGTTATCCTGTACCGGGTTCACTGCGATTTACGAACGAGCAAGTGTACGCTCGGGCAAGTATTTCTACGCAGGAGACGTCTCGGTACTCGCTGGTGCGCTCTCCTTCCCTCGAAATTTGTTGTACAACCGCTCTGTGCAACGATCACGTGCATAACGATGATGATAACGTGATAATGTGCGTCACTATCTCATTACTCGGTTATTAATTATTCTCCCGCAGCATTTAGTTCAATAATTCAAATCTATTTCGAGGCGTCGCCCGAGGATTGTCACACGTGGAATTCCCGTACGGGTTCGCGTCGATGGATTTTATGGAAATTGTTATCAACAAAATTTCAATTTCAATTGATTATAATATATATCGTGTGCGTTAAATGTGTAAGCGAACTTCGCACATGATTCGACTCAGGTTTTATACGACAGTGCATCTTCATACCTAATTGGGACGCGGAATTACATTTTTTTAAACCCCGCGAAGTGACCCCGTGTCGGTCAAGTTGAACACAACGCCTTTTGCAAAAAATACCGCGTGAAAATCGGTGCGGTAGTTTTCTATCGAGTCAGATGCACTGAAGTCCATCCCGAATATTGTAGATGTCACCATAAGTTTCCGTTACCGAACCGATTAGATTGAAATATTTTTAAATCCGAGTAATCATTTTATCAAATTGGACAAGGTGACACTGTGAATATTAAACATTAAATGAAACGATTGTAGTTTAGGGTAATCAAGTGAATGTTATTTATATTTGTACATGGCATTTCAAATAAATAATATTATTATAAAATTTGATGGAGTTTTTTTGACAGTGTAAAATAATAAGAATAATAAAGATGATGGTACCATAGTTTATAATCATAAAATAAAATGTAAATATTGATTTATGAAAATGTTAACTCGGATAGAAAAAATATTTTAATCTAGAAACTAATCAGTTGTAACAACCATATCATAAAAAGTTCAAGTCAAGATAAAGTTTAAGTTGTGCACATAAATACATGATAAATAAACTTGTGTGTACACGGCAAACCCCTCCAAGACGAGGCTTGCAACTCAGACAGACCCCCTTTAAGAAATGGCATGCAATTCGGATTTTTTTTTTTTGTAATGCAAAATTAGGTGGGAACACCGATTGAGGGTCCTTAAAAAAAAAAAAAAAATGTGCTCAATATGCGTATTTTACTAACGAAGAAGCGACGAAAAAAAAAAAACGAAAAAACAACGGAACAGACGATTTTCGATTTCGGTTGCAGAGGGCCCTCAGAGCTCGAGGTATTATCGAATCCGTTACCGGTCGCCGCTGCGGTTATTCGCGATCGGTAACGTAGTGGGATGGTGTTGAGTGGTAAGGTGGTAGCAGGGGTGATTTGATCGACTCGTCGAGTAGCAGCGCTCCGAACAAGTGCACACGCACACTTTGGGAAACATTGGACCGGCGAAAACGCACGTGATAAGCTCTCGAGCACTGCCGCGCGCGTATTCGGTTCGAGCGATAGTTCACGCGGTGCACCGTCACCACCCGGTCCGGAGACGACCAGATCGAGGTACGTTACGCACGACATACTGTTAATATTACTACTGTTATTTTAATTATTATTTTTATTAATATTATTAATACTGTGCTTACTATTATGACTATTATTACTATTATGCAACAATATCGGACTGACGCGCGTGAGGGATGACCCCTAGGGATCATATTCTTACGCGTTGACCGCGTGGTACAATTACTTTCGTTTGTGCCGCCCACTCGTTCGCGGTTCGTGGCAAGACGTTCAAACGCAGTTTTTTGCGTTGCTGCAGCCAGTGCTCGACTCGGCAAAATTAGAGAAGGTTGGACTCTGTTTACTTTTAAAAAAAAATAACCGTCCCCAAGACTTGTTAAGCGTTACGATTATAACGTAATTATAATAAGGGGGACGCTAAAGTTTCCGAAAATTAGTTGTGATACTCCGTCCCACTGCGCCCCCCTCAATCCGAGCACTGGTTGCAGCCGCAGGCGTGTATTACAGGAGGTGCTTCACAATGCTTCGGCCCTATCCTAACAAAACGCGTAGGTAGGTATACTCAATGAACCGTAATGTGTACACAATTAAACGAACACAAATTTTTCATCTAATATTTGTACATTAGTCCCAACGAATACGTTTTCCTCAAGTGTCGTATGTTTTCTTCGATTGTTTATGATTTGCACTTTTTCAATCGATCGCAGCCGTTTTACAATCGTAAGTTTTTGCACAAAAATTTAGAAAATTTTGTTTTGTTTTTATTTTTTTTTCATTACGAAATATCATTTAATTTTTATCAAATATTTTAAAATAAAATTTATATGATTTCCACAACACCAGTTAAAAAAAACTGTTCCCTTACTCTTAGACTTAAGCTGTAGGACTCACTTACAAAATTTCAGGGAATACCCAGACACCCTCTCCCAGTGCAGATAAAATTAATATGTGTTTTGGAATAAATCGATAACTACATACAAACGTTACAATGTAATGCGTAACAAAATCGATAGTCTATGTAGTATTCCGTAATAGTGTCTGATCGTTCACCGCTGTTCGAAAGTTTACACTTCAACCGAAATCGGAAACGACCCGATTATGGATTGGATTATGGGGTTCAAAATTGTTGTTCAAGTCTCACTGTCGTCAAACGTATCAGGAAAAATATCTAGAATTTTAATCGAGTACTCAACTCGTTCCAATTAAAAATGGCAATATTCATCGTTAAATACGAGTAAATACAAATTCAATAAAATCGCGACTGAATATGAAAAAAATAAAATTTTGACTCAAAAAAAAAAAAAGTTTCCTAGAAAATATTTGAAATATCTCTTGAAGAAGCCTATTTGTCATAAACAAACAACAATAACTGTATATTGTTTCACGTTAAATCCCTTTCGACTTATGTTGAGATATTTTGTATCGGAGATATATCGACGAAGTTGTTTCAACGGAAATTTATTTATTGTTTTTATGGCTGACGTCTACCTACCTCACCCTAAGGACCATCTGTAATGACGACGGTAACAAAACGAAAATGTGACTATACGATACGCGTACATGATCGATGTAGGACCCTTTTTTTTTTTTAAATCAAACACGGCCATGTTATTAAGGTTTCGGTGAAAATATTGTGCTCTAATTTGACTGGAAACGGATTTTTGACACGGAGTCACATTAGTTTGCACATTTTTTCGATACAATAGTGTTTTTAAACTGGATTTATATAAAAATGCATGTTTAGACAATGACAAATAAAGCAAAAGAATACATAAGGCGTATACAAAAATTAAAAATGTACTGTACATAATTCCTTTTTGTCGCGAGTACCGTAATTTTTTTTCACGTAAAACTTTTATTTGATTGAATTATATTTATATAATATACATATATATATACATAACATTGTGCAATATATTGTATTCGGTTTATATTATTAATATTATAGTAACAATAATTATATTACGTATTGTATTAATACAATTTTTCTTGTTATACATAGAACAACATGGTAAATGAAATACTAAATATCTAAAATATATATATTAAAAAAACAAACAATGATAAATGATAAAATAAAAAACTTAATACTTCATTAGGTAATATTATATATTTCTCATTATTGATAAAGAAATGTTATAAGAAATGCATGTCTTTCAATTTTTCTTGATTGTACAATCGCCTCTTAATTTCAAGTATTAAATTACTTCATTTTTTAGAATGATTGTTCTTTTATATTGTTAATAGAATTACAGATACTTATACTCATACTTCAGATAAAAAATAATTCCCAATTTTTAAACGTAAAAAATTATCATAATGAATAATCATTTATAGTACAAAAAGTTAATAATGATATTAGAACTTTATACAAATACTGTGGAAATAGTAAATATAATGTATATAAGAATTTTAGAATAGGATATATAATTTTTTTTTTTTTTTTTAAATCGAAGTGCCTTTATTAAAAGTGAAGTATTACAATGCAATGATTAAGCTGTTCAGGTTGATAACGAACTAAGGAGAAGGGAGACAAAATTAATATAGATTACAATAAACATTTTGAACGTGTTCGGTACAATAAGTATGTAGCATTAGGTATGTAAAGAAAAGTAAAAAAAAAAAATTAAATGATTATTAAAAGATATTCAGACTAATTAATATTCAGTGAAACACTTGATACACAGCTGAAATGTTTATAAAATTACTAATTGGATAGTAAAACGTTACAAAATAGATGGAATATATACCTATATATATGCTTGTAGCATATATTAAAATTTAATTCAACTATGTAAATATATAAGAAATGGAATTTAACAAAAGTATATTATGAGTCATATAAGGTGTGGTATGGTCTAAACTGTATGAAATAAATCGGATCATCTTTGTTCAGGAATAATTAATAGGGTAAAGAAAACGGATTAATTAAAATAAACACCATCCACAAGCATTTTCTTGTATCAGATAATATGATAAATGTATTCTTAAAATTCGAACATTAACAGGTTTTAATGTTTTTCAGAAAAACGCATAAAAGCTCATATTTTCACAACCATGAAATTATTTAGAAAAAGTCATAGCCTGCGCATAAACCGTATTTAACCAGTGTTGCTAATTTGAATATCGTCAAACTTATATTATTTTCATATAGATTAACTATAAGTTTATGTTCGGTATGTAGAAAAGTATTAAAAAATTACTAAATGATGTAACACACGTCGATTGTGTACTTTTTTCATAGTCTTAAAATTATTAAAATGTATTTTAAATTATAAAGCATAAATACTACACAGTATCATTTCATAATATTTTTGTGTTATAGTCACGTAATTATTGTTGATTAATTGCGATTTCTAAATATATTGCAATCTGCATTGAAGTAACAGATACCCAGTAATTGTATTTTTATATAATAATTCAAATTACGATTATTATGTAGGAATATAATTTTAATTTTTTTTGGATTTTATTAATATTTTTTATGTGATTTAATTTTTTTTTTCTACGACAATTTACATTGATTTTAGTTTGTTATAGACGTTATGTTTAAACACACGAATAGTAGTTAATTATTATCAGGGACATTACAATACAAAGCGTTTAACCCCCCCCCCCACACTCTCTCAATTTTTTTTGTAAAATTGACTTCACATTTTTAGCATATAATTCACCTCATTCCTCAAATATGTTTAATATTTAATAATTAAGGTACCTACTTATTGATTATTATTATTATTATTATTATTATTGAAGTCATATTTATTTTGTTTTGATGTTATTTCAAAATTGATATTTCATTATTTTGGCTAAATTATAGAAAGTTTACTTTTTTTTTACAAAACTGTAAATAAAAATTAAAATAATAATAAATAATGTTTTTAGAATTTTATAAAACAGATATAATATTCCAACATTTGAACATTATATATAAAACTCTCTAAGATTTAACAAAATAATTATACCTCGCTTCAAGTTTTGCTATCTATTCAAACAAATTACCTTCTGCGTTTCTGAGTAAGTATTGTATGTATAAAATTGCTGTGATAAGTAACGTTTGTTTACTGAACTATCCGAATTCACTCAAACTTGATTTATTATTAAAAGTGGGTAAAATTGATAATGAATTAATTATTACATAATATACACATATTTATTATATATTTAGATAATATTATAATGATATTCATTAATAATGAATATTGTCAAGTATTGAGAATTTATAGCACTTACTAATTGTTATAGAATACAGATAAAAATAACAAAATGAGATATAAATTTGTTTATTGCCCCACAGACTCCAAAAATGAAAAAAATGAAATGAGATTATATTATAGATAATAATACAAAAAATAAAATAAACTGTCAGTAAAATATAATAAATTGTATTACATTTGAATTTAAATTTATTACTTTTCATTTATATTTTTGGGCATATTTTAAGGTATTTTTGGTTATATTATAGTGCGTATTTCAGTACTTTTCAATTACATGAAATACGAATCCTGGCAATTATAATTCACAGATAATATTCATCATAATATAAAATCAAGTCAATAGTACTTGGTACCTACTATCCATACAATAACTACAAAATCATATTTTGAGATCATCAATTATCATTGTCAATTTATTAATAATATTCTGTTCTACGGTAATATTTATACATATAGTCATGTAGCATATTATTTACATAATTTACGTGAGTTCATATTTAATTATATACGTTGTACAATTGTACTCGGATATCTCAGTATAAAAGAAAAGTGAATGCTTTTATAAAATGCTTTAAACATGCTTAGGTACCTATAAAAAATAAATAATCTATTTTTTCTTATTATCATTCATTTTTATGACGCCCCATAAATTCATAATATTTTGTACGCCCTGGGCACTTGCCCCATTTGCTCTCCCCCCTTGGGACGGCTATGCCACTAGGACTAATAATCTTTGAACATGTACTGATAAATATTACTGTTGCGCAACGGAATCAAATCGAATTCAAATACTACACCGAAATTCTAAATAATATATTATAAAAATCTGTTGTGTATGCGTGTAATATACTTATAAATGTATACATGACGATACGAACGGAAACTAAAACGTTGATCAACACTCGTACTAGATAAATTAGTTTAAAAAAACCGTACACTTATTATTGCCTACTACAACGCAACCGTTGTTATCGGTTACATGTACGAACGTAATCGTGACAGTGGACAATAATCCGAAATTAGTTATTATATATTTCATTATGCGATCGTAACGAGTGTTACTAAAATTAGTTATGTTAAAATATTTAACGCCGTTTTCGGAATAACGATACATCATTGTTAAGATTTTATTTTTTATACATTTATTCAGTCACGTAAATCCAAATTTAACTCCCGTAACGGACAAACGCGTACTAAATCATTAGTTTTTGGTAAATATTACGTTTACTTCTATTATCCGTGATCCGTACAATACTAATATCACTATTGTACTTATAGTTACACTACCCATTAACAAAATATACAAATAAAATTATGCTTCGTTGCTTATGATTTAGATTTTTGGTATTTATTTTTTTATGCATCTTGGTTGAGTTTTGAAAATTCATCACTAGTTTAGAGATTTAGTAGTAAGTAAAAATGCGTTTGTTGAGTGAACATTTTTTTTTTTTATGATTGTTATCTTTGAAATACTTTTTAGAAAAATAAAATGTTAAAATCGAACGTTAATATAATAGTAAAACACTTAGATGAAATACAGGAATACTAAACAGTTATATATACACTAAACCATCGAATATAAGCTAAATGTTTTTTTTTTAGAAAATTCAAAAAGTCTAACAATATACGAATTATAAAAATATACGAATACGAATTTTAAAAATGTAGAATAATTATATTTTGAACTTCACGTAAAAATAGTTTTGTGACTTCACGTTCCGGAAATTTTTTTAAAATTTTCTGAAAATGATTTTCTCCATCAAGTACCTTAGTACTTAAGTAATCTAACCTATCAGAAACGTTTATTAGCACTATTTTTATCAAAATAAAATGGTACTTATACAAAAAAAAGACCTTTCTCTTTAAAGGTATTTTAATATTGAGAAAATCACAAAAGGATAGGTGCTACTTATGTACATCGCTCTACACTCTAATGAACTTCAATATTAGATAAACGCTTTTTATATTAAACTTACAAAAAGTATGCTGAAACGCAATGCATACATGATTAATAAAACATATATTATCATAAAACAATTCGATCATTTTATAGAATGATTATAAAAAATAAAACATAAAAATATTTATTTTTAATATTTGTTGTTATGGTTTTTTTTTTTCAACTTTTTATCACAGCCGTTTATACGTATAATTTGTTTTTGCAACAAACACGTTTAATTTCAAAATAATTTAGGTGAAGCTAGTACGCTGATTACTAAATATTCGTGCACATAAAAATTAATTACCATATACACAATAATACACTAAACAACACGAAAAATAAAATTAACCAAATATAATTGTATTCGTTTATTTAATTTACGTGGTACGTCTGTAATACTATTATGATTATTAGAAACGAGTTCTTTATTTTAATTAGAATCATTTTTGTAAAATCAATAACAATTTGTATATAAGTACGAAGAAAAGAATTTTGAAAAACAATGCTAATGCAATCATTTCAAATTATCGAAAAAGAAAATTAGTTATTTAAGTGTTTTTTATTGGTTTTTTAATTTCGAAAACCAATAAAAGTTTAACCGGACATCGACTTTAATCAGACATACTTGCCGTTTTTATGAGGGTAAATCGACTGAAAACTTAAAAAAGTAGTCGTAACAAGGTCATTGTTATCATAATTTATTATTTTTGTATTACTAACATAACGGATAGAGTAATTTGGGATACGGCACGGATTATTTTTTTTTTTTCTGATAAATTACTTTACCGATTAAATATTTTTATTCAACAACTATTCAATACCAAACAAATATTAATTATGGACGTTTACATTTTAAAAGATTAAAATAGAATTTAAAATATGTCTACAACAATATGCTCTACATTTATTAGGGAATTTAATTGAGATAAAATGTACCACATCGTTTTACTTTATTGACTCAGCTATTGTATCGATTTAATATATATGTGATTTTAAATTGGAGTAAACCTTGATAACATGAACTATAAAGTTAATTTTTCTAAGAAAATATCAACTCCGGGCGAACCGCGTTTACTAATAATTAATGACTTTACTTATTATAAATAAATAATACATGTTAATTATGAACGATAAAAATTTATATTTTGTATTTCAAGAAACATGTTACTATGAATATTATAAGTATGATAAGTATGTTATATATCATATACATATCATACTTATAAGTATGATGACTAAAATATTTTCTACGTTTATACGTTTTAGACTTGAAAAACAATAATGAAGATTTATAAAAACTCAAGAACTAACTAATGATTACATCCTGTAATGAGGTAATATTTAAAATGTCAACTGGTGTTAATAGAAAATCGAATATTTGCCTATGCGGATGTAAATATTATTTTATTGTAAATTGTGAATACATCATAATGGAAGCCGGTCATTGCTTTTGTGATTGGTTTAACCTTAGATATTATACATTTCACTTGGCACTTAGATATGCGTTTTTTATTCTTATTTTTTTATCTATTTATCAATCTCTGACGGAAATTTAAAATATTAAAAAATTAATTAATATTTTTCGAAATTGTTTTAAACAGCTCATATGCGAAATCCTATTATTTTTAATTACAAACAAATTCACTAACATATTTTATAATATAAAAAAAATAATAAAAATTTGAACCGCTGAGAAGGCCACCACAATTGGGGAATAACATCTGTGTTCGATTTACTATCATATAGGTGATTGCATACAACTTTAGTACTATAGATTTTGAACTAGTTATCAGTTTCGAAAATAAATTGAGTATATTTGTTTGGTTTTACCGATAAAATGTAAATACTCAACAACGAACATTCAATTGAAATATTTGTCGCCAAAGATGATTGAGTGAAACATTTTGGACAGTTGTAATGAATAAATATCAAAGATAACTTAGGAATTTTACAATTGGTAAAAATCAATAATTTCCATTATTTATTAATTTCAGAATCGACCTGAAAATTAACATGTTTAACCGTTTGATTAATTGTATAATAAATAGGTTTACCATGCTCAAGATTAGATACTGAATATTGGCAGCGAGTTCAACAGTTAAACACTCGGTTTTGTGGTGGCCTTCAACAGACGTATTACTTGACTGTTTAAAGCACAACAAACATAAATTTAAGAATTCCTTAAGGTTAAGAATAAATTTAAAATAATACGATTGTCGCCTACCCAAAACGACAACCTATTTAATATATTATTACCATTTATTTTATTTCAACTTAGCTAAGTTTTTTATTTATTCCTATGGTTGGCTAATCCACTGTGTTGTAGTTATAAGTTATTGTGGACGAAATTCGCAGTATTTCTACTACTGTTAATCCGAAATTATCTACTTCAAACACAAATTGTTTCAAAATAAGTCCAATCAAGTGGAATAAATAATGCTTAACGTCTAAACTACAGTCGAGTATTTTTAATTTTTTATCGCTTGTACGAGAATTCCAAGCTAATGGAACTATAAATGTATTTATTTAAATTAAATGCTTAATTGTTTAGTATTTGTGTAATCTAAGTAGAATTATAATTAATTTGAAGAAATTAAATAAATAGCATTAAATTTTATTTTATTTTTCATTTATACTCAGCAAACTTTTATTATCATAAACATTTTGCCAAAAGTTATTTTAAAATGTTTAGTTTTTAATTTTAAAAATTAAAATGGTATTCTGACAAAATGTATTACTTTTAAACATCAGAAAAATGTTTTTTTTTTTTTTATATATATACAAATATATATAGAAATTGCAAATCATCTAAATATTGTTCTAAAAAATTGTTAACATTTTAACCTTGGCAGTTAAATAATGTTATGGTTTTAACCATAAATGATTCACATGACTTTACAGTTATAATTTATTCAATTTTTATTTTAAATTTTATCAAATTTTTAATATATTAAGGAAATATTATTAGTTAACAACTTTAATGTGTATAAAAATACAATTATCACGGTGAAATAAGCTTAACTTTTGTTACATTTTATCAACATAATTTACAAAGTGTATGACTGAATAATTTGTAATTTAAAAACCATCTAGATAATATAGTATAATTTGTTAAAATAGAAACGAGGTAATGTTAATATTGTTAGATTAAAAGGACGTCACACCTGCATGTGTTGTCTCCGTCTGACATACGAACAACATAGCAAATTTGCGTTTAGTGATTCATATGTAGTTAAGTTAGCTTTAATATTAAAGTAAACTGACCTATAATCAAATTTTAAAGGAAAAAACATTATCTGTATTTGGTTGGTTGGATTTTCCGATATTTTAATTTTTAAGCATGTTATGAGTATGTAAAATATAACAATTAAAAAAATATCATAACTCGCTTAAAAATTTAAATATCGGAAAAAACCGACCAACAAAACACAGATAATGTTCTTCCCTTAAAATTTGATTATAAGTCAGTTTACTCTAATATTAAAGCTAACTTCACTACATTTGAATCACTGAACGCAAATTTGCTATGTTATACGTATGTCAGACGGAAACAACACATAAGGGTCCTCTTAAATATCAAATCTTTTTACCATGTAATTATTTTGTACACCACTGTAAACATGTCCTGTTTAAATGATTTTAATATTCGACGGAGCTTTAATAAGTATTATGCATGCCAAAACGGTATTTAATCATAAATTTAAACGAAAGGATAAAACAATTACAATTTAAGTCTATTTTAATTTATTTTACCAAATATTTAGAAAACTTTTACAGTGATAAACTACGGTAAAAATATTTTTGTTTTATTTTTTCAGTAATATTATTTATCATTATTGTGTAAACTATTCATTATGGTATATAAATATGTAAACTCGAATTTGCTTTCCCCACCTCGAATGATAAGTAATCAAAGCTGTTGAATTACGAACAACGATGACATGATGGACGACAATGACTCCATTGTCCGTGAACCGAGACCATGACAACCGCTTGCTTGACAATAGCTTCTTAGTAACAACGGAGTCGAGAAAGAGCGTACAATAATAAGCTAAGTCGGTAGGAGCAAGAACAGAGGAGGATCGAAAACAATTTATCGCAGGATAAGTGTTAAGGGAATTTATACTTCCTTACTTATAACTTTGAACTTTACACCCTTGTTGTTGAAATAAAACGAAAATAATGTTGTTTCCACAAAAAGACGCATTTTCGTAAAAGAAAACAATTGAAATTATGTTTATTAAAAAAATAAAAATATCACAGTTATGTTGAATCGACGGACGAAAACAAAAATACAAGGTGGTCTTAAACGCTACGGTATTGGTGTATAATCGAGTGGATGATGATATTGTGTGTCATCACCGATCCGGGGGTCTGAAATAATATTGTGTAACACGTTATATTTTGAACATTTCGTCGGAACCCGTGACATTTTCATAGCATTCGGACGTCATAGACACTGCAAGACAATATACGAGAGCACAAACAACCCGATACGGATAAAAACAATAACAACAACATATACACAGGCACGGTTTTATTCAACCGTAATCAATAGTTTATAATTTTTTTCCACGTCTCCGTAGTCGGAGCCGGCGTTATTGGAGTGCATACCCCCCACCCTCACCTACGAATAACGTTTTTGAACGGTAGGCAATCGTCAACAAAATTAAGTAATATTAGTGTTTGTATAGTCGGAAAATCTCTATAGTTGTAACACCTTTCACACCTCTCCAATCGATATTTTCTAACGCCGGCCCCGTGCGTATGTCCAGTTTTCGAAACCAATCAAAGCTTTACACGTTCTGGATATCCGACAAGGATAACCGTGGATGGACAATGTTACAGTTAAGAAAGTAACAAAAACAATAAAAAAAATAAACCAATAATAGTATAAACGGATATTGCCGGACCGAATAGATCCACCGATTATCCGATTATCAGCAATATCGCGTCGCCGGTATTGTAGTCACACATGGATTCGCTTTCGATCCTCAAAACCAGAGCTTCTCGAACCGGGGAAATATTTATTTTATTCAAACTATTTTATTTAGGCCTTAATTCGGTTTGAGCTTAATGCTATCGTAAAGTTTTATTAAAAGTAAAAAAAAAAAAAAAAAAAATATATAAACATTGAGTCGCTACACAGCGACGTGAAACAGTACTTAAATGTGATTTTTAAATATAATAATGAAGAAAAAATAGTTGATGATTTTGATCAAGAGGGCGTTGACATTTTTACATTAAACTTAGTTGGCGCCGAGGTAAAAAAAAAGTTTGAGAAGCACTGATCTGAATGATCATCCACATCACTATAGATTTTGCGACGGTTCAAAAACGTCAACACTGCGAGTAGATATAATACCGATCCGCTTTACGTTACACGACGTGCGTTATTAATGTGAACACTTTGGTTTGTTTCAGATCCGGTCCAATAACATTAACCGTTCCGAAGGCAAGATAGTCGTATAGAAACCAAGCGGTAACGTGTTAACGTTGAACGCAACAAATTAGTGCAATATTACAGTATTACATGTACACCTGATTTTAAGAAATAAAAAAATTGTAATATATATTTTCTTCAAAATACATCGGATATTAATAAATATATATTTATATATTTTTTTATGTGTTTATAAATATATTATAGTTGGTACGCAAAAAATATGCGCGTACCGCATTTATTATACCACGGATATAATTGATTAAGTATAAGAATGTAAAGTATAATGAACGACGGTACGCTGTTGCGATGATGTACATCACAATTGTACGCGTAACGACCGTCGTTGATTTAATCGCCGTTTAAAATAAAATAAAGTAAAAAAATCACCGACACTCGAGCGCATCTCAATTGATCTGAATGTAAGTATTGCTATCTTTTTGGTTTTTACCTGTCACGTAGCTGACTATGACACCGACGAACACCGTCACGAACGTTCCCATTAACGAGTAGTACATGTATGTTATCGAGTACAACGCGGTCAGTATGTCTCTGAAAGGAAAAAAAAAAACAACAACAGCGGTTAAGTTAACCGTAATGATTTCAATGCGCTAGGGGTGCGTAGCAGCGGTAATCGTATCGGTCGAGATCTCGAATAGAACAACACCTCGAACCTTTGAGTAGCGTATCGTTTCCGTAATGTCCAATGCACGACGGTCTTTCGCAACAACCGAACGGTTTAGTCCTCGGGGGAGGTGACGGGAAGAAAGAGAAATCCCGTCGTGCGAATCGAATCTATTCGCTATCGGTGTGTTGAACGTTGCCCGATTCCCTCCTCAAAAATGCGATGTCTCCGTCCAACGAACGTACAACGAAACTAATCCGCCCGTTCAGTAGTTCAAACGTTAACTTTGACGTTGGAGTAAATTGACCTACAATCGGACGGAAGAAAATCATCCGTATGGTTGGTTTTTTTTTTCCCCGATGTTTTAGTTTCCGAGCGAGTTACTAGCATGTGAAATATTACAATTAAAAAAAAAATCCTCATGACTCGCTTGGAAATTAAAAATAGCCGACCCCGCTAAACATCGACAATGTTCTTGTACCGTTATCGGGTGGTTTACTCCAATATTAAAGCTACCATCACTGCACTTGAGCTGTGCTGAACGCGAATTCGCTTCGTTGTAGTACGTGTGTCGTAGTATGGAGACGCAGTGCGTTATTACGATTAGAGAGCTACGCTTTCGAATTACGACGGTCGTCAGTAAAACTTCAAAGTGGAAAAATAAAAAAAAACATTAGATCGCGGATGTAACACGTGCGAACGCGTGATAAGGACCTAAGGGAAGTTTGTCGGTTTTCGCAGGGGCCACCGAAGTGGATACTTCCGTGGGACGATGGTCGATCGCGGTTTATCCTAAGCGATTTCGGGCACACTTTGACTGAACGCACCTGAAGTGCGTTCTTGTCGTGTGACACGCCAAAACCGTGTTTCCTATAACAACTAAATTTAAAATATTTCGATTCGTCGATCGCTCAAATCAGGCGTGATCCAGCAGGCTCGTCTAAAGATAACAACGGGTGACAAATCTGCACAGGTTTAGACAAGTCGGCACACTCGTGTTTCTTTCAATACACGGTTGTATCGCGTCCATTCCAAGAGCGCCCGAAATCGGTTACGCCTAAAGCGGGCTATTTTAAATTTTCGAACCGCGCGTTCGGTCAGCTATTGGCTAACCGCGAAGCCGACGCTCGTCGCATTATTTCGGTTACGTACCCCGTGGTGGACGATTGGGCACCGGGCGCTGATTGGACACTGGAAACGCCTAGGTCCGCGTACGTTCGGTTCAACGAGCCCGTCTTGTACAGCTCGTACTGCTGTTCGAAAAACGGCTCGATGTGCGATGAGAACGTCGTGTTCGTGCAGCCGTCCGTGGACACCGGTAGGTAGTTGATCTCTTTGGCATTCGATAACGATCCGATCACCACAAACAGAGTGATCAGATGGCTCGCGATCATTCCGGCGGCAGCACCCTGGCGAAAAAAAAAAGTAAAAATTTGAAAAAAATAAAATAAAATAAATCCGTTATTGATCTACACATCACTGCTGATTTTCCGGGGCAATCTGACGAAACGTGTACGCGCGTGGTAGACGTTCGATGGGATGATAGGCAGGATACGACATATGCCCTCTCCTCCTCGTCATACACAGACGAGATATTATAAACTCGCGGTGCTGCATCGACATCGTTGTAATCGGTTAACATTATGACATAAAATTCGAGCGCGAAAAATTTTTTTTAAAATATACAATTTTTGTTAACCGCTAATTTCTCCCCCCGCCACAATTTTACTCGTGGACACCTGCGTGTACCTGAAATACCGAGTGTGATATATCGATTGTACACGGACAACAGGTAGGTAAATGTACTCTTTTGAACGGGACACGTCAAACTCATGGGCTGCGTTTCATTCCTTCCGGTCCCCGGCTACATTAATTTAACAATATTAAGCGAACAAATAATTTTAATACTGTGAAGAAATATTTAAAACAATTCATTATTTTTATTTTGCCATCAAAACCGTGTCTAACACGAATAAACATAAGTACAAGGAACGCGGATTCAAATCTTTTTTTATCCACCCCGTCTGCAAATCTTCCCTTGCGGTCGCTTACTTGACGCGATTTACACGATGTGAACGAAATGACGTACCATTTGTCGCCTTTCGTGTTTCCAGGGAATATTATAATTATCATACGATATCACCCGCCAAAATAATCTAGAAACGTTATTGCATACGCAACAACGAATTCGGATCTACGCGGCTGGCAAGTGTTGTTTTTACAACAATTTTCATTGTTTAAACTTTATTATTATAGTTGTTATTAATATATGCACAATACCTCGAGTAAACGAACATTGCCGAGTTTCTATTGTAATAACACGTGTACCTGCATTTTTTTTCGTTCATTGTCTCTGTTACGTTGCATTGTTCGGGCTCGCAGAATGCTACGTAATCCGAATTCACGACCATTGCCAAGGGCACGATGTTTTCTGAACATACGCAACAATTGTGATACGATGTTTTCACAAAGTCATCTTATAGAAGTCGAGGGTCAGAACCTAGGCCATCGTCACTGATGTCTTTGTCACGGGCACAGGATATTGTCTCGCGTTGCATTATCCGGTAATTTCATGATGCATCGAGATTGTTCCGAACGAATAGGTGCGGTACAGGAAACTCATTGATTGCACGTGCGTATAGTAAACGTGTAGCACTCGTATTTTATGCGTTTCCTTTTAATGTCGATTGGTTGAAGTGTTCGCAAAATAAAATGTTCGCGATTGATAATCATAGTTAAAACACTACGAGTCCAAAAAGCAAGCCGTCCGTATAGAGGTTACGTACGATTAAAAAGGAAAATCTTACCGTTATACAGTTTTCGTCCCCGAAACGGTTTCCGATCGAAAACTCAGAAAACATCAACGGTATGCACCGGGGGTGTCCAACTTGCGACTATTGTCATCGGCAGATGCGGCTCGCGTTTAATTTATGGAATCGAAATTTACATATCATATTGTAATTATTATGTATTTAAATTTTTTAGGTATAAATTTATAAAAAAAATATCAAACTATATAAAATATATCTATGAACATATTGACTCTTGGTATTATCGTATTTATCCGTTGGCCGCCCCTGGTGTGTAACATTACGTTTAGCATATTTCAAGATTACGTGATGGACCAGCAATTTGAACATAAAATATATTATACACGGGAAATTGTTCCGTTCGGTGTAAATACATGGTAAAAGGCAGGACCGGCTTTAGATATGATCGACGCGTGCGACAGCACAGGGCGTCAAAATCAAAAAGGTGCATGAGAAACGTCAAAATTATAATTAAATTTCAATCGTTGGCGAAGCAATTTATCTACTATGGATAGAAAAAAAATTTCACAATTTGATTCAATATAAATTTGATTATTATTATGATTATCATCATTTATTATTCTATCAACATGCAAGGATTGGCCGCGCTTGTAGATATAATTACAGTTTTATAAACTATCACTATATTATTACATGTATTATTATGTTTCTTTTCTCAATGATTTACAAATATGTCGCAAATAAGTACGTTTGAAAAATTATTTTGAACATTTTTGATTATGAATGAGGCTTAGGTTATAATATGTATAATGAGGACCCTCCAGCTCGCAAAATTCTGTCTATTTATAAGTTATATGTTTAAGTCGTTTAAGATGTAGGATTTCCAAAATAATTCTTGTACTGAGCGCTGATAAGTCTAAAACCGGCTGTGGTAAAGGTTCCTCTTTTTAAGAGGAGAACTTCATCCGTGATGTATCGGTGTTTTTATATTTTCGCCAATGAAATTGAGTTTAAGGTTATACAAACGTTAACGTACGAGTTATCGCATTGACATAAATGTTTTTTGGGATAAGGTAATCGAAAACATAAAAACGGTAGGTACATATTGGATGATGGATTTCTCTTCTATGCAACGAAAAAAATAGGAGCAACTACTGCGAACGTTGCACACTAGACGGTTCTGTGTCGCGCAAACGGTTTTTTCGTCAAAAAATCCTAAACCACATTATTTACGTACAGGGTGGACACATACGAATTTCGGAAACCTCTATTGCGGACGAAATATTGGTTTACAAATCTCCACGGTTGTCTTGGTTTAAATGATTGGGCTTAATGATGGTCAAATATATATTTTAAAATATGTTTTCAATGTTATATGTGGGACTGGGTTTATGTGTCTCCAGCCCCACCCTTGGTTTTTTTTTTGTCTTATGATTAAACTTAAGCCTTGGGAATTGTTGCTAATTGACCGCTAAACGTTGACTCGGAAAACAATGTCAATATTTTGACTGGGTGGGGTTGGGGACATGTTCGTAAACTCGACGGTTCTTTTGTTTGTAGGTCACGGTCACGCACCCACGTGCACGCACCCGTACCTACGGCGGTCCCTATACCGTGTTAGAACCCAAGCCACACGCGTTCGAGTGTCCCGTTAAGAGACATTCTTTGGATGCAAAGTCGATGTGCGATCGATGTCGAAGATGACGACACGATCACTGGAATGCATAGGTGTAGCCGAGGGAGAGAATGCAATTGCGTACCCCGAACATGATCGGAAATCACAATTTATACTCCGACTCTTTCAGAGACCGCTTTTTTTCTTCGCGGGTACACTCTCATGCGTGGTTACTCTTGCGCGCCACGAATACAAAGTCCGGCTACGCTTACGCCGGGTTAGCTAACACGATAAATATTGATCGCGATGCACATCGCGCACACGTCACCGGATCGATCCGTTTCGATGGGGAACACTCACTTTCCAGTTGGTCGACGGGAAGAACATTGCCAAGACGAAAACGCCCAGCAGAGGTCCACTAGTGGCGGACGTCATGAGTTGGGAAGCGTCGATGACGCCGGAAGAGTGTGCAACAATGAACGCGATGCCCATGACTATGAAACCCGAAATTACACCTGCAAAAAAGTACCAACGTTAAAAACACGAACATGGTCGGTTCGATTCGTTAACGGTTTTGAAATATTATAAAATGAAGTCGTCTCCGTCTCTTACGGAACGCACTTCTCGCTCAAAACTAAAGCACTATATTCTTATTATTATTATTATTATCGTTATTATTAAGCGATCGGAAATAACATTTTAAAGGTAGGATTTTTTTTTAAATTTTACGAAAATGAATAACAACAAATTTATTATGATGTTTATTACGTGGGTGAAAAAAAACACTTCCAAGAAAACACAATATTATACTACGCTAAATGTAACCTACATTTTATGTTAACGACGTATCCTCGATGATCATTGAGTGACATATGAACATTTATCAGCTATTTTACTATATACGAATTCACTATTGTAAACTTTTAAGTATGGAAAGTTTAAATTGTATTAAAATATTCATGAATAATTTTTTCAGTATTTCCAAACGATTATTGTTAAAAATTAAAAAAAATAATACAATATACATTTAACCATATGGTAATCGGTCAACTTCTTATAAAACAATTAAAATATCGTTTGTGTAAGTGTACATAATAATATCATATGGAAGTGTGTTATGTGCTTACTTATGATTTTAATGCACCGCAATTGATTTTTTTCGCTGGTGTTCTTGAAAATAGGTATTTGTGAGATGAAGTCTTCCCAGGCTACCGTTGAAAGCGAATTCAAGTTCGATACCAGTATACTGTGCAATGAACATAAAAAAACGCAAGTGGTCATTAAAAGGATCGTTGCGCATAGAACATAATATGATAAATATCATTATTGATATATAATCGTATGTTATGTAGACTTGCCTTAGACCGCTGTTGAACAGACTGGCCAACACGAGTCCCATGAACCCGGGCAGGAAGAAGAATTTGTCACCAATGTAGAACGGCACGATCTCGTCGATCTCCGATATGTATCCAAGTGCTCGAGGATCGCAATCCGCGTACACGGTGAATATCACCATGCCGACTATCCACGAGAGGCTGAAGAGGAATATCATCAGCGGAATGGTCAGCCACAAAGCCCTAGGCAAACGTTACGAATTTGGAGAAATGCCCTAACCAAACATAAACATATACGGCTGCCATTTTGGATGTAAAAACGGTTCGCATTCAATTACTTTTCGACTTGTTTCTGCGAGTCCATGCTGAAGTAACGCTGCACGAAGTTCTGCTGGCAGCCAAACATCGAGAGTGACATGAAGAGCTGACCGAGCGTGGCGGATATGGTGGACACTCGGATCGTGGGGTCCATGTCTAAGCTATAATATCGTGTATAATGACAAAGAAATTACTGTTATTATCATTGTTTTTATATATACAATCAATTTTGAATTTTGCGTGTTCTGTGTGTAATACGAACTTGAAAAAGTCCAGCCTGTCCCGTTCCTTGGTTACGTTGAACACGTTCAAAGGACCCTTGGCTATGAAGAACCCGTGCACAATGATCACTACACTGCAGCCGATCATCACTAAACTTTGCACGGCGTCCGCAAGGATGGCCGATCGTAATCCTCCCTAGAAAAGAGAAATATATGAAAAATAGACGTATTACCGAAACGAACGGACGAATAAATATTAAACACGCATTTACATGTGTTTTTCAAAGTTAAGATGTTTAAAAAATTTTGTTTTAAACAGTAGTTTTAAACATGTTTTAATCATTTAGGTAATTTAATCAAATGCGGTTTTATTTAAATCATTAAAAACATTTGATTTGACCAATGCAAAAAAACCATTGTTTTAAAAAGAAAAAAAACATAATTTTTGGCCTATCATCTATAATTTACAAGAGTTAATTCATTATTTGAATTTTTTTTTTATTGTTCAGTGATTAAACGGTGTTTACCTTATGATCTAAAGTGTTTACGATTAAACAGCTGTAGATAGTGTAATCACAGAATATACATATTATCATTATAGCATAGTGTATAAATGTTTTTCAACAACGAAGTACTTCAATATTTTAATTTATAGTTGATTATTATACCTTTTGAAAAATAGGAAACGCAGAAAGACGAATTTTATCACATTCTAACACTTATAATCACAATAATAAGATAATAACAAAACAACATTATTATATTGGATGGAGACTAGAATATAATACTTAATATTATGTATTTTATTAATATTTATTAGTAAATAAATGATTCTATTAGTTTTTATAGTATTAAAATATACCTAATGACTAATAAATAATAGTCAAGATCAAATCTACAGTAGTCACTACTATAAATAAACCTCAACGTACACCTGCATTAGTTGTCAATACTCATTTTTAATTTTAATTTACAACATAATTATTTTTATTTTTATAATTTATTTATATTCCGAACATACAAACATAGTATATACTTCTATTGTTACATTTTTACTATTTAGTATTTGTATGTTATTACTTTTTAACGTAGCTAATTGCTACTATATTTGATATTATATTTAATTATTTAATTATACTCCATTAATTTCATACATCATATTATAAATATAAACGATTAAAACTGTTTTTTACCAAATAAGGTGTTTGTATTGAGTACTTAATATTATGTCCTCGCGTGTCTTTCAAATTCGATAACATACGTATAACCATTTGTAACAATTTACACGAAGTAAAACGAATCGCGGACAGAAGTACAATGCCACCACGTCACGCGTTTTGCGTTCCCGAGAGGTGCAATAGCCGTTGAATATCGTTTATTGACATTGTTAATGAAACGGTAGGATTATTGATGGCGTTCGGAAATCGATGAACTACATCATTTTTAACGCAATCCAATCGCGAAACATTCATAACGTGTGAATTCCAGTCGAGAAACTGTGAAACGCATATATTAATCGGGGGGATAATCTTCGGGCCGTAAACGTATACACGACCAACGTCTGAAGGATCACAGATATAACGATATTATACAGAGCCGTACCGAGCCATTTTCTATCCTGAGAACTAAACCAATGCGCCCTCTAAGTTGTAGGGTTGTCACACTCACAGCGTTTAACATGTATAATACGATTAGGAAAAGTCTGAAAAATTGTAATTAGGTTTCTAGCAAAACAAGAAATAACATTTCTTAAAATTAGTTGATTATTTAATATTTTTGCGCCCCCCAGCTTCAGATGCCCAAGGCAAGTGCCTCGCTCGCCTCACCCTAGTTACGGCTCTGATATTATAGAAACACGTATGGGACACGCGACGTGCAGCGTTATCGTTTTTTCGTTTTTCTCTCGCAACACGTGTTCCGGATTAATAATTCCGTTGAATAAAAGAGACCACTAGACTCGTCCGCAATCGTCTTCGTGCGGTGCACCAGCGGCAAAGTTCGAACGACGCGCTTGCTCCGGGTTATTGAAATGACGAGTCAACAGCTCCATCCATTGTGGTGGAAAACAATGGGCACGTGCGATTGTTTGAAAATCCACGGACCAATAAGACTTTTGAAAAAAAACGAATCAACACCGAAAATTATCGCTTGCGGGTAGGTTACACGATAACGTACACTAGAAGCGTGCGCGTTTCGAACGGATTATAAAACGATGAACGTTGATGAGCCGTCGCGGTTCATAGAAAATAAACTTTCCGGCGTAATATTTAAAACGGACGCTTTTATCTACTTGTTTTTTTTTTTTTTTTATCGTTTTTAAAGTTTACGTGGACACAATATGATTGTTTGCAAGTCATGGGCGATGTGATTTTATTTATCAGTCCTGTTGGACGAAGGAATAAAAAAAAAAAACAAAAATAAATATTTAATATTATTATTACTATTGACTTACCAGCAACGTGAAGACGATGGCAATCGACGTGATCAGTACTATCGAAAACCAATACGGTAAGCCCATCACGGTCTTCAAAGCCACGCACGGCGTGAAGACCGTAACTCCCAAGTTGAGTACGCTCCTTATGAAGTACGTGGCGGATGCGAGCCTCCTCACCAGTCTTGATTTGAACCGCATGTCTAAGTACTGGTAAACAAGTTTTCAAATATATCAACATCCATTACGTACGGTCGAACCTCTACGTTCTAACGAAACTCTCCACGTAAGAAATTCTACTGATGGGACCACGACATTTTCGTAAAAAGTCGTTTCTATTCAAGGGTTTATTATTTTTTTTTCTTTTAGTTTCAGGCATCGACAGTGAAGTCAGTAGCACAACTAGTTTTAGTGGTGATTTTGTCTTTGGGTGTACGGGGGAAGAAATGATCTCGTCCAGAAAGCTAGACCGCCGGTGGCAGACCATCTAGCCTAGCTATTTTTAGATAGTTTAAAATGACATGTCATATTTTCTTAGATTTTTTTTTTTCAAAAACATCGATAGAATAACTTAAGTTTGGCAAAAAGTGTTTTGAAAATTTAATACAAAGTTCCTCATACATATTTATGACTGATGAACAAAAAAAAAAATTTATGAGCGTTTGAATATTAAATTTGAACACAATGATAAACAAATACACATCTGCCAAATATTCATAGTTGAGAATTCATAGAGTTTTCAATTTTAAAGGCTTGAAAATTAGATACATTTATACGAATTTCTTTTGTAGCCAAGAAAAATCTGTTCACTGGGAAGTCGCAAAAAAAATTCAATGAGTTTTACAAAATGAAATTTTGGCGAAATCGGATATTGCTCTGGATTCTCACTAAAATTAAACGATATTAGTTATTGAGTAGTCCTATACATTTTAACCGTAGCTACTCGAAATATTTACTGAGTAGGTACTTATATAAACATTTTAAAGAAATTTCGTAGTTTCGAAATATTTTAATGAAATTTTTAATGTTTGAAGACGCTTGGAATTGTGCCATTTTATCAATTTTTAGATGCTTTTGCAAAAGTTTAACACTTTTAAGTTTAAACACTTTTTAAAGTTCAACCAACCTTAAAGAAAAATTAAAGAAATTTAGTTCTGATAAATCGACTATCTTTAAAAGTGTTAACTGATCCATTGGACATCTTTCTCTCCAAATTGTCTTTATAAAAAAAATGGTACATTGGTTTCAAGTTTAAAAGACTAATACAGCGTTACTCATCCCTGTATGTTACCCGAACTGGGAGTTTTGCTCTTTTAAACTTTAATTCTGTTACGTTTATAATGAAGTAATAATAATCATGCTAGAAACTCACCTGATACACTGAAGTGATTCCGAGGTTAAAATAAACTGGTAGGAAAAAGTACAAGACTAAAGGAAACGCTAAAGACATTCCATATAGCGTTTCCCACATCCCGCTTCCTCTATAGTAAAATTCAGACGGATACCCTGTAAAAACAAAATATTTTATTAGTAAACATGTTAGAATTTACATTTTTTTTAAAAACCATTTAAATTAATTTATGCAGAGTTTTGACACTAATATTTTCTTAAGTGCATAATAGTTTCATTTAAATGTCTTGTCATAATGTTGCAATATTAATTATATTTATGTTTTATCGTTGATTTTCCAAGCAAAATCACAGCATCACAAGAACAAAAATAGATTGTTTAAATAACCAGGTCAAGGTCTAGAGATTTCAAATACAATATTAATTTTCAATTAATATTTATCAATCACGTTATCAATAATATAGATTAAATTATTATTATGCAATATCATCTACATTCTTGTCTGTAGTATGATTTAATTGGATCAGTAAATTTATCAACGTAATAATTGATAATATTTATAATTTTCCCGACACATCAAATTGACTCCCAGCAAGATATTTGTTCAGTTCAATGGATGTATAATATCGATTTAACGATAACGTGTTTCTTTCTTTTTTGTGAACACTTTTAGTAAATATTTTTCAATTAATGTTTCGTTATATATTTACATTATCTACATATTAGGTATTCATATAATCCGTTATACGTTACAACATCTACAACATTCGATTAAAAGTGAAAAATAATTGAGATTTTCGTATATTTTTTTTGGAACATTTTATTCCTCTTTGACACTTTTTCCAAACTCTAAGTACAAAAATCACAAAATTAGAGTTTTAATGTTTGTTAATCTCTTTTCATTTAAAAAAAATAATAATAATTCATGGACGATATTTAGATAAAATGATTTATGTTATTAACAACCCAATTCATTGCAATGGTTTGAGTTAACTCGATGCCAATACATATTGCATTGTCACCCCATACATCTAAATCATGTATTAGATTGATTATTCCGCACAGCATAGTTATATTTATTCAAATTTAATTAATTTAATTAAAACTAAAATTCAAATTTTGATAAAAGTTCAAAATCCAATGGTTATATATTTTAAAACATTGAAATTAATAATAGAAATTTATAGAGTTTTAAATTTTTATTTATTTTTAAATATTTGTTTTCAAATGTAAGTAAACTCTTACTACACATTTCAGGTTCAACATAAAAAATCAAATATATTATTCAGTGTTGTGTAAAATTTTTATTTTAAATATTTGAATCTCAATCATATATAAATATTCTTCCAATCGTTATGATTAACAAATGCTGTTAGGGATAATGAGTATAAATTTGTTAAATTTGACTGAATATTTTGGCTTAGACATTCCTGATAATAATAGTATATATTCACTGAAATTAGAGTGTTAATAATGTTAACAATACTTACCTAGGAAGACCTTAACACCAAGAAATCCACGTGCGATGGACAGGAGCATCGCTCCCATCGACACCGACCCCTTCGACGCGAATACATAATCCGCTTTCGTTTGTTCTTTAGGACCGGATATCTTACTGTATATCAATACCGCGAACGACAGTCCGATCAGCAGTAGAAAAACCACATAATCAAATATAATGCTTTGCATATTTTATAAAAAAATTTCTGAAAAAAAAAAAAACAATAACAATTACCTATTGAATTACATATAATTATTATTACTATTATTGCAGTTATACAATGTTTAAATATTTTTATTACCAAGAATTTTTACGATATATCTCATTGTTTTCATTAACGGAAAATTATCGTCGTTATGATTATGTTTACTATTTGGAGAAATAACAGATCAAAGGGAAATGCTCACATATAAATTGAAAAATATCTACTCATTACTACGAATCAAATTATCCTAGACGCTAAACTTTATCATCTTGGTTACTACAAAATTATTAATCGTAGGTTTTAGGAATAATCTGAGGGCATTAAAATAGTTCCAAAGAAGATAAATGTTCGCACTTCAATTCCCATGTACACTCATCAAATATATATAAAAAATTTAATCAAATTAAGCAATCATGTAAACATAATCATTAAACACGGTATAGCAAATAAATATAAAAAAAAACGTATGCTAGTAAAATACTTTTTTGTACGTAGAACTTTTCCTTTTTTTTCTATTTCATTTTAGCTATTACTGCACAACGAATGCTTGTTCAGTGTGTCATATTTTACAAATGTTCGAGTACTCGTACACAATATTTTTAGTTACAGTATTAGTGATAGGCACAATATTTGAACATTAAGAATTAGTAATTGTCTGTCAATTGTCTGGTTGGTTTTCGTGCTAAGCTTCTGAAAATGTATCTTGGGAATACGTAGAACTAACGTTTACTAAAACATTATTTAAGTGTAATAAAATTTCTTCTGTAAACACGATATGGCTATATAGTTATAGAAAAATCACGTTAGCTTTTTACGATCATTTTCTAAGTAGTTGTTCACTTATCCATTATACTCGTGGTTGAAAAATAATTCATTTTATGGTCTACGGCCGTAGACTAACTTTTCGAACCGATCTACTAAATACTGATATTTTGTCAATATTATTCCGAATTTGGAAAAACATGAACGTGAAATGATTTCAATATGTAGCTCCTCATGCTTAAATGAAGAAATGTTTTCAAAAATTAAATACGTTATACCTAAGTATAGAATTAACTCAAACGACGAAAATTTACAAGCGACGCTGTTGATTGGAACAACAAAGTTTGATGCACACTATCAAACAAATTTAAAATAGAAACAATTCCAAACTTCTCATTAAGTAACTTAATAGTATCTCAATAAAACAAAATTTTAATTATAAAAAAAAATAAACACAAATTTTTCGAAAATCTAAATAAATCTTCAGTTTCATTTCCTCTCTATTCCTCAAAAAAATGTTGGCCCACGACGCTAAAGCGTATCTCAGATTTGGCCCACTGTAAAAAAGAAAAAAGGTTGAAGACCCCAAGTCAGGTACATATACGTAAACGGATACATTTTTATGGAACACAAATTATTTATTTATATGTGTATTTTGTGTATGATATTTTATACTTGGAAAGTGATCAAAGGTTTCACATAATATTATACGATTTTTGTTTATTTATTGTTGAAAAAAATACGAAAATAAATATTGACACAAGTATATGTATACTATTATGTTTGCCCACTGAGAGTGTCAATTCGATTAATTTGAAATGTTTCTTGTTTTGATTAAGCAAACGTCAGCTCTTAAATATCGACTTCATTTGATCGACGCGCATATAATATGATATTTACTCGCGAAATGCTTGGCTGTGAAGTTTATATCGCGCCTAGATGCGATAATAAACTATAAATTTGCTTGCCGGCCAGCAGTGTTTTCGAGAAGTCAAAAACAATATTCGAAAAAATAATAACCAACCAACTTTCGTCTCATATTATTTTTGTTGAATATATGCGTTAAAACTGCAGAAGTGCGGTAATGTATAAAACAAACTACGATTAAATACGAAACCGGTAGAAATCTATTATACATTTTTTTTCCTCAACAACTGAACCGAAAGCGAAACAGTAGAAACATTTTCTTCTCCGTCGCGGTATTCGTTTTTGTTTTTTCAAACCCATCTCAGAGCGCAAAACACTGAAACTTTAATTGTTAAGAATACCTTTCGTTTATACACTGTAAGCCACTAGCGCTTGGATTATAGGCATTACGACGCATACGCGTACAGAAACAGATGTTTTATACACAATATAATACATAACTAACCCTAACCCCCCTATTGCCCATAGAGAGAATGGTTAGTTGTAATTTATTTTCTATCGACAACATTGCCGACCGCACTGCAGTCGCCGTAATACAATAAGTATTATCCTTAGATCCCGTACGACCGCACTGAACCAATTCCGATGCTTCCCCAGAACACGCGTCTGTAACCAATCATTATTTAGAAAGCTCTTTGTAGAATAATAAGTGTAAGTCAGCGCGTACTGTCATCAAACGGTTAATTGCCGGCATCATAATAATATTGTAACGGTGAAATAGTACGAATCCGTAATTTTGTTTCAAAACAGCAGTATTAGGAAACATAGATCTAACAACGACTTTCGGTTATGAATGAAAGTAATTTCTGTATTATGCAAACAATGAAGAATGTACACGTAAAAAACTCGGTATATGGTAATGAGACCGCAGGCACGTAACCAGTCATATTTCTATAACGGGGGCCAAAATTTTTGGCCCCTTTCTGTAATTGTGATTATCAAATGCGCGTTCGATATCCGTATTTAGAATAGTTTTCAATCTATTAATACACGTACTATTATCTTATCTCAAATTGTCAAGTGACGAATATTTATAAAATGAAATCTCAGATTTAATTTTTGTTATACGATCGTTAATTATATGGAATGGGCGCATGTAAACTCCGCCACTAAAAAAAAATCAGGTAAAATTGAATATATGTAAAAACTGCCAGTGAAGAAAATCGAGTAGTAGTATAAAATTAATATGATATATTATCAAATAATAAGTGAATATTATTATTATAATATTATATAATATCATACCTCCATTTTATTTCACCAGACGCATATTTTATATTTTTGTTATATTTGTAGTTAGTTGTTAAATAAAACCAATAAATTGCCTCGTTGACCAATAATTAATTTTATATTATTATTTTGTTCAGGCATATTTCGTTCAATATAAAATATACACGGAAACACGTAGACTACGAATGATTATGTTCGTAAAAGTATACTTTACGTATACCTTACCTACTGCCAATATCATCATTGGGAATACTAATTTCAGATAAAATTATTAATAAATGAATCAATGTGGATTTATATCCACCTTGGAATGAATCGAACCATGACAATAACTTTATCAATTTCGACATACATAATCGCAATAGATGTCAACGTATTTAATGTGAGAAGTCCCGTGGCAATGTGAGCACTGAGCAGGTAAACAAAAAAAAAAAACAGGAGGAGTTTGGCTATTGCAAGAGAATAAAATATATTTTAAATATTCAACAAATCGTTAAAAAGTGGTATTAGTTTTAATTCGGTGCAGAGAAAGCTCGACCGACGCAAAACTCCGACTAAACAATAATGTAATAGAAAGATAAAAAGATGTATTAACAAAAAAAATTAACTTGTACGGCTATACGTCGGACTTGACGTCATGCATTTTTTTATAACGATTCGTATGATTTCATTCGGTTTGCGTACAATGTACTACATTTTTTAAAATAATAATTTTTTGTTTGCTTTATTTTAAAAATAGTAATTATTTTTTATACTTTTTGCACATCATGTACTTCATATTGTCCGTTCGCGGAACAATAATAATAATACTAATAATAACACGCAATGTTTAATACGAACGAACGAAGAACAACAAATTTAAGACGAACGAACATATGAAACATTGCAACTCGGTTTGAAGAACGGTCTAATAGAATATTATACTACTAGGTACATAACTCATTAGAAATATAATTTATTTTTTTTCCGTGGAACATCGTTTTTCTTGCAAGCTGTTCGCGATAAAACTTTTTAAACGGCAAAGATGACTGGAAAATACGTAGTGATACGACGTAAGAAAATAGACTCATTCGCCGAAACGCTTTTCTGCTAGTAAAATGTAAGACAACGTTTGAAATACATTATAATAATATTAGTCGAAAACATAAAGGAGCATACTACCTACGACAAAATATATTATGAATATTATGTAACCGGGGATAGCCGATGGAGATGGATGGTAAAACGGCTTAAATCTGACTGTTTAAGACATTGTTTTTTTAATTTAATTTTTTTTTTTTCTTACGATAATCACGTGCTTGTTGTACGTCGTAGTTGCGTGTTACACAGACGGTTGGCGATTGCATTTGGACGACTGCAATAATTACCGTATACCCGACGAGCAACTAATTGACATACATTAGTGTATGTGTATAAACACCATGTATCGACTGGCCATCGTGGTGTAATAACACTCGTCCGCGTTAGGTATATTATAATTGCGTACACGTATCGATCGAAATGTTCTAAAAATGTTTTATACCTTTGTTTGTCGTATTTTTATTGTTACCGTGTGAAACGGAACGTGCGTAATGGTTGCGCATACAAGTTGTCAATAATCGACGTGTACACGTGAGTCGTTCGATATGATCCGTAAACACACTTCATTGCAACAGCAATCCGTCAAACCCGATTAGTATAGCAAAAACATCAGAGAACCGGGGGAAAAAAAATAGTAAAAAAATATTTCGATTTGATCGATACGAATCGTCTCGTTCATAAATAAATTAAATATATAATAAAATAAATAAATTCATTCATAAACTACGTATAAATATATAAGTGTGTGTTTATTATCGTTTGTATAGGACGACCTCAAGGAACTCTAAGGATGGAAACCGATGCGACTAATGTCGAATTCGGTATCATCACGTTGACGTGCGCGTGGTGGCTTTTCGTCACGCGGAAATCGTCGGCAAAGGAAAAGAAAAATCCCGCGGAACGGTCGCAGAAATCTTCAATTTTTATCCGTCGTACACGCGACGTGTTCGTACGGATAATGCAGTAATCGTGCCCAGCAATGACGGATTCGATTATGTTAT